GGGCAGAATCTTTAATCCTTGAGGAAACGAATTATTGCCAAAAACAATGAAGCAAAGCAGCTATTGTCCTTAGAGTTTTAAAAGTGCTCCAGTGTTTAGAACTTTTGATTGAAGTAGTTATACAAAAGTATATCAGCTCTACTTGGAGGAGCACTTGAACACATGAAGCAGGAGTGTGGCTTACTTGAAATCTGAGATAACCTTGTGGTGAATAGCATGATAGCGGGTCCTGAATCTTTGTGCCAAGAATCCTGATCTGGACTCCAAAGACCTAATAATGTCATATCCTCAGTCACTGTCACACTTGTGTAGTTAGCCTTTTACATTGTATTTTACTATTAGGAATTTTATTTCTCGTCTTGAAAGATGACATGGTTTTGCAAGTTTTGAGTTTTATCTTTCATTTTAAATGTGGGTTTCCAAAATGTTGGAATCACCAGGCACTTTTTATGTCAGTACAGCGTCAAAACTGTGGAGGTGATGGTCCGCTGGCCCTCTAGAAGGCAATTTGGGAAGTAATTGTTCCTGTTCCTCTTGGTATCTAAAATGATCTTAGTTCAAACCTGGATTCTTACTCTTGATACAGTTTTTCTTTGACCTTATATGGTAATTGACTTCTTAGACCCTGTTCTGTTAATTTCTACCACTTCCCTTTGAAGGCCATAACTTATATCCCTTGGTCCCTGTCACTCTCAATGTGGGCTGTTACTATAGTTCTGAATTCCTCCATACACACTGGGCGGGTCAGTAATCAGAGCAGCTGCTGCCACTGCTTCTTAAAAGAAAATGAACTGAACAGCAGCAGCTGCTGCACAGGTCCTGGGAGTTGCTGTGGGCATCCTGGCAGTACCTGGAGAGTGCCTGCTGCTCACACTGAACCCAGCGTCAGAGGGCGTTGGGGTGGGGAAAGGGAAGAAAGCTGAGATTTGAGCAGAAACTGTGGATGTGGGCGTGGCCTGAGGGTTCCCCTAGATGCAGACTGTCCCTCCTGGAGCTGCACCCACTCTGCTATCTCAGGAGCTGCCTGTGTTCTGAATGGTTTAGACCAGTGCCCAGGTCCTAAAGGACTTAGATTAGGAAGTAGATGGGTTGCACCAGGGACGGTGTCATTGACTGGACACAGCTCTATTTTCAATTATTTGTCCCTGCCAGGCATAGCCTCAGCTAATGGGCTGTGACCTCCTGGGATTAAGGCTGGTTCTGAGCAGAATCAGGAGTTTGCTTATTTCCTGAAACAGAGAGGGCAGCTTTACCTTGAGGATTAAGACACCTGCCAATTGTTGAGTTTGGTTGGGTTACCGTGTTCTCCCGTCAAGTTGCTTCCTTACCTTTTCATGACTCCGATTTTATCCGACTTCACTCCACCTGCCCCTAACCATTGTTTGATTTTCCTGTAAATGTGGTCCCAGGGAACCAGGTGCAGCCAGAGCAAGGGTGCCTGCTTTTCCTCCTCTGGCTGATTGGGGCCTCAGGCTGCAGAGGGCATCGGCCTCCTTCCATCCCAGGTGGGACAGATTCCAAAGTGGGCTCCCTGTGCCAACTGTCCAGGGACCTGGGAGGAGGGACAGTGCTGGAAACACGTGTAGGCAGAGCCCACGGGAGGCAATGTGACAGCTAACATTATTCTCCAGAGGTACATTTCACTTTGTCGAGTTCTTTTCTCACATGTTATCTCCCCCCACCCCCAAAACCTTCCTGCTGCTTCCATCCTTCTGTGTGGCCTGCTTTCCTCTGCAGTAGCCACCTCAAGTAAAATGGGAAAACTTCCACTGGAGCTTGGCATTTTTAGCACATGTGAGATTTTGTTGCCACAGCCCCTATAACCATCAGCAAAGTGGAGTTAAATGCCTGCTCTTTCTCACTGCATGTTAAAGGCCCACGCTGTAAGGGTCAGGGGAACAAGTGGAAGATGGAGGTACCCAGGAGGTAGAACCCTACCATGCAGCCAGGAGAAAAGGAGCTGGAGGAAGCAGCCTGCTCTGAAGGACTGTATGTAAATAGAACAATGTCCGCAGCTTTTTAAACAACAGGCAACGCGGAAGCACCTGTGCCCTGCAGGGCACAAGGGTCATCAGAAGCCTGGGGCTCTGCGGGCGTGCATCTCTGACCCTTCGCCTGGGAACGAGGAGCTCCGCGGATTAGGCTGCCCATCCCCAACTCCGTCTTGTTGCATCACTGATTCCCCCTCATCCATTTCCTCTGGCTCCTTCCCTCTCAGCCTTTGCACGTGCCATGCCCCTCACCTGGCTACCTGCAGCTCCACTGTCCATCTCTCGGTGACACCCTTCCTCGCAGGCAGGTTTTGGCACTCCTCTGGACCGCGCCCAGCACCCCGTCCCACCCTGGCATTGCCTCTACCTGCCTGGGGTTTAAAGACCTGCTTATGGATCTGGTTCCCTCGGGGCTAGAATGTGGCAGGGAGGGGGGCAATCCTTGCTCATCCTAGGAGGCTCTTGAATGTTTGCGGAATGAATAAGTGAACAAATGAGTGAGTACAGTAAACAGGAGAGAACAAGCCTGGTACCTGTCTTAGGTAGCTTGCCAGCCTCCTTGGGTGTGGATGAGCAGGGGAGGAAGTGGTCAGAGAAGACACACTAATAACCTTGGACCTCCTGGGCTGCTCTTTATAGCCTTCCGGTGTAAGTGGGTTACCTTTACAGGAAATGTCTTCCCCGACCTTCACCCCACCCAGCTGCAATAATGCTGTGATTCCACCTTCCCTCAGCCTCCCTGAATTGTCTTATATCTGTCAGTAAACAGAGCAGTTCTTGTTTCAGTGTTTCCTTTGTGTAGGTTTTCCCTTTCAGCTAGATTGTAAACGCCTTCAAGTCCTCGGTTTTATTTCCTAGGAAGCAATTTAAAGGAATGGAGAAAACATTGCTCCAAAGTCATTTTGTCCTGGCTACCATGTAGCTAGCTGTGAGATCTGAGGGACACAGTAATTACCCTCCTTCCAAAGACCTCTGTTTCCTCATCTGTGAAGTTAGAGGGCTCGATACTCTCTCCAGTGCTTTCAATGCTCACGTCTGTGATTCTGTGCTCTGACTCCAGCACCTTGCTTGTCCCTCATAGTACCTGAGATAGGGTTCCATCCCTGAATCTGCCAGGTGATTGAACTTGTTCACTCACAGCCTAGGCCAGTTCACCTCTCAGCTATTTGTCCGATCTCCTGGGATCAGGGACAACATTAGTGGAATAGGCGTGGTACCACCCTATGGAGACCCTTGTGGCCCTTGACCTTGCCTCTGCCCACTGCTGAGACATTCCACACACTGAGGACCCTGCTTCCATCCTGCTCAGCCTCCGTTCCGTTCTATAACTTGGTGTGTGCTCTTTCATCTCTTCAAATATAGGACGAGGGGGAGGCTGACTGTGCTGCCATCCAGGGGTCTGCAAGGAAGCATGGTGCTGGGGACACATGTTCCCACATGAGCCAGCCTCATTCTGAGACCTGGCTTCATAGGCTCTCCCTTGGCAGAGTCTGGCTCCCCTCTCTGTTTTCTGAGTACATTTTCCTTTTGTTGCACCTGCTGTATTGCATTGGTTTAAAAAAATACATTAAATTCTTTATTGGGGTCACAGCAGAGACAGAGGTGGTAGGAACTGTTTTGATTGTGGGGTGGTTTTTTTCTGACATTTGTGGGTTTCTTGAATGCCGGGAGTGGCTTGTGTGCTGTTTTGGGAGTTTATCTGTTCACATTCGTGTTCCCAGCCCTTTGCCCCAGCTCCAGCTTCCTTTCTCTTTCCTCTGTTTCGTTCTGTTCTGTCAGGTGTGTGCTCTTTCTCTGTTTCTTTTCCTGGTTGTTCCATCAGTCAGCCAGACCCCAAAGATTGTAAAACTGACAGTGGGTGGGTGAAGAGCATTAGTGAAAGGAACACAGTGGGAAGGTGGTGGGTCTCTCAAGATCTCTCCTGGCTGTGAAACAGTGAGATGTTAAGGATTGTGGGTTTGGACTAGAGGCCCCTCTTCTAGGAGATAACAAGAACACTGGGGTGGGAAGGAAGAGGAATATTACGATGCCTCGTACATAAGCGGCACTACCCAGACCCTCCTGAATCCTCTGTGCGAGACTGGATGACAGTGGAGGGGCTTGTCGGAGATGACAAGTAAGAATTGACTCGGCAAGAGGCCAAGGCTGCAAAAGTAATTGAGTCGAGTTGTATCTTAAGCAAAGGTTAGGTTCTAAATCAGTATTGTTAAAAGATAAACTGAGGCATATTAAAATTTAATGAGTTTATTTGAGCGAAAATTGATTTGAATCTGGCAGCGCCAAACTGAAAGTGGTTAGGAGCCAGGAGAAACACTTATATAGAGAAAGCTCAGAAACAAAGAAAGGAAATTATTGATTGGCTATAGCTTAGAGCCTACATGGCTGCTTTGATCGGTTGTCCTTAGCGTTTGATTTTATAACCTTGAGGCTTTTACAGGCTTAGATGTATTGCTTACATAGGCCACCACAGCATTAGAGCCACATCAGTCTAACAGCCTCCTCGTTTAATTAATTTAAGTGTATAAACTGAAAATCTACATATAGTCAAAATTACCTTTGAATAATATCTCAGGGAGGCACAGTGTTAGCAATTGACGTTCTATCCCTTGTCAAGTTTAACGTGACCAATTTTCTCCTCCAATGTGGGTGTGTTTTCCACATGCTGTCCTTGGCTTCAGTTTAGGGGTCATGTTCTGTGACAAGTGTGTCTTTTAAAACACCAGAATCATACTCGGCAGAGAGCTGTTGATACTACAGGAGATGGGCACATTTTTCACCGAGTTTCAATAACCTCTCTTGTGCTTGACTTGCGTGGTTGTATTTGTGTGTGTTGCGTGAGCCGGTCCCAGGGTCACAGGACTCTGCCTTTGCCCTCCCTTACCGCCTAAGCTGGCAGAGGATTAGTGGACTCCTGGACAAAAAATAATCCCGATATCTCTTGGTTCTGACTAATTGAAATATTAAATGCGAATTAAACTCAAATCTCCAAATTCTCTGTTTTGTCAACAGGTTGCTGGTGGGGGCCCCGCGGGCAGTGGCCCTTCCACTGCAGAAGGCCAACAGAACAGGAGGCTTGTACAGCTGCGACATCACCTCCCGGGGGCCTTGCACACGGATTGAATTTGATAACGACGGTGTGTTCTGCACTCACTTGTACCAACTCATCTGTACCCCACTTGCCCTTTCCGTGAGGAAGGGAAGGGAGGGGGTACAGGCCTTTATTCTTGGAGAGAGAAAGAGCCTCTTTTAGTTGCATCAGCCTTGACTGTTTCTTGTTTGCCCTGAAAACATTTACTTTCTAAATCACCTTGGGATGCATCGTATCGCTGCCTCGCCTAACCCTGCTTTCCAAACTGGTACGGTGGATTGATGTTGCCACCTAGTGATGTGTTGAGGTTCTACAGGAGGCTGTCGAAAAACTGAATACAGAGCAGCGAAGAAAATTCGATGTGCGTGTCTTGTGCTCAGCAGCCAAAAGTTCTCACTTGCTGTTAAAATATTTGGGAGAAAGACTATTTTAAATATCAGATCTCTTGAAAATGAGAGCCGACCAACATGGATAAATTTTGTCCCGCTGTCTCAGATAGAGGCTTGTCTTGTGAGGATTCTGTGTGTTGGGCAGAGCGATTAGTGTGCTGAGAAGCTCCACCCAAACCTAATTTGACATACTTGGTCTAACTAAGTAGATTTGCAGGTTCACGTTTATGTTCTTTTCTTTTTCATCTTTTAGAAGTAACTTTTTTTTTTTGTTTTTTGCTTATTAGAAAATAATGCATGTTAATTGTGGGAAACTTGTAAACGACATCAACCTATAAAGGAAAAACCAATAACCCACTGGTAATCTAGACATAATCACTCTTTATTTAACATTTTGACATTTTTCATTCTGTCTACTTAAAGTTGTTTAGTTTTCATATTTTTGTAATGGTTCAAGATCAAAAATTATGCCTGCCTTGCTTCCCATTGAGGAAGGCAAAAATTTGGATATAGGGTTATACAATAGGTTCAAATTCATGCTGAAATGAGCACATGGTGGTGTTTGTGGTTTCTGTCTCTTGGGGGGAGGGGGTAAAAATAAATACATCACTTTCCTTTTGGGCATTGATATATATAAAGTGAATCTGAGGCCATGTCTTCCCATCTCCAGCAAAGAAAAGAACAGTTCCTGCTGTTATGTAACAAATTTGGGAGCATATAGAGAAGTGCCCACTTTCTGTTAGTTTGGAAATAGATTTTTACATTGTTGCTTTAAGGGGCATATGTTGGAGGGCAACCCCTTAGTCTTAGCATTTTCAAATACCTTTCTGTACTCAGGACCGTGGGTGTCAGAGAGGGTGAAGGGCCACCAGGTAGAGCTTGTATTTTACAGAAAGAATTTTATGCAGGATTCTTAGCAATAACCACTTACCGTTTTCTTAAGATGAGAAATAATTTTTCTGGATTGAGTAACTGAATTTATTAAGTAGCTAGATTTCGAATCAAGGCAATTTAAAAACCCTCTTGTGTATTTCATCTGTTGGTTCATTGCCTGTTTTGGTCCCTTTGAAGTCCTAACTGTGCGTATGTCACCTGTGCTGCTTTCCACAGCTGACCCTTCCTCAGAGAGCAAGGAAGATCAATGGATGGGGGTCACCGTCCAGAGCCAAGGTCCAGGGGGCAAAGTTGTGGTAAGTGTAGAGAAGCGTGTTCATTCCACAATGTCTGCGTGCCCATGATGTGCCAGCACCGGCCTTACGGCAGTGAACAGAACAGGCAGAGCCCCTGCCTGCATAGAGAGTACATTCTAGAAAACTTACTGCTTTGAAGTAGGTATTGGTGTCAAGAAGAAAACAAAGTGTTATTTTTCCTGTGATTGCTGACATACTTTGAAACAGCTATACAACCTGCTTTTCTTTATAACTTTCAGATTCAAAGAACTTACTTAAGAACCTTTATTGACTATCCTTAGAACTTTACATGGTCTTAAAAAAGCAAAACAAAACTAGACAGGGTTTCTGTCCCAGGAACTATGTGACTTTTATAGATGAAGTATAAAAAATATGGGTATGGTCATGGAAAGTAAGATCAGATAGTTTTAAACTCTCTTGTTATTTATTCTGAGCTTCTTCAAATAGAAGTGGTAGCGAAGAAAAGAGGGTTTGTTAGATGGATTGTGCTGGATGGCCTTGGAAGTGCCCCGCCCAGCTGGATTATGATGATCTCTCTGTGTCTCTTTCAAAATCTGGTTGCTGTAACAAATGTATGTAGAATTTTGAGAAAAATTAGAATTTTACTGAACACTGAATTTTGATATTTAAGGGCTACATTATGCGAAATTGACTTGGATATTGTAAAGTATTTTCAGCCTATATTACATGGAGGGTAGCCACGAATACCCTGTAAAATTATAGAGGTTATTTCATCTCTCCTGGCAGTGTAATTCTCTGCCCTTTTAAAATAAACTTAACTCAGAATTTAGAGTACAAGTTAGGACTGATTATAAGGAAATAGTCTGGGTAAAAGGAAAATGTCTATTTTAGCTGTGTTTGCCTGATCCCTATGAAAATATGTCCATGATTTCTTTCTTTTGGAATATAATTACTTATTTTCACAAACATACTGATATGAAGATTTATATAGCCATTAAAAGCCAATTAAATTAAGAAAATGAAATAAAGTATTTCCCATTGTTTATGTGACAGGTAAATTTACAAGTAAATTGCCTGTGGATTACAGATTGACATTCAGTATTTGGACTAGAGCATTATTCTCTGGGTAAGAATAAGACAGAAGTCTTAGTTTCCGTATGCTAGATAACGGTCTCCTTAGTGCCATCTTGGGGAAGATATGCTGGTTTTGGATTCAGTCCCAGGATGAGGACACATTTAACATCCCGTTTAGAATTAACCTCTTTGTTATTGACAATTTTGTCAATTTGCGATAAAAAAACATAAAGTTAAGGTTTGTAGACATGAATGGGCTACTTTATTCCATCTGTTTGCAGACATGTGCTCATCGATATGAAAAAAGGCAACATGTTAACACAAAGCAGGAATCCCGAGACATCTTTGGAAGGTGTTACGTCCTAAGTCAGAATCTCAGGATTGAAGATGATATGGATGGAGGAGACTGGAGTTTTTGTGATGGCCGATTGAGAGGCCATGAAAAATTTGGTTCTTGCCAGCAAGGTGTAGCAGCTACTTTTACTAAAGACTTTCATTACATTGTATTTGGAGCCCCGGGCACTTATAACTGGAAAGGTATGACATGTATTTATAGAAGTAGAGATTAGACTGACTATATGATTTCTATTATAAGCACTGTGATTTGGTACATTTTATTTTATTACTTTTTGTGTGTCTGAGGAAAATCAGCCCTGAGCTAACATCCGATGCCAATCCTCCTCTTTTTGCCGAGGAAGGTTGGCCCTGGGCTAACGTCTGTGCCCATCTTCCTCTGCTTGATATGGGATGCCGCCACAGCATGGCTTGACAAGCGGTGCATTGGTGTGCACCCGGATCCAAACCTGGGAACCCCGGGCCGCCAAAGCGGAGCACACGCACTTAACTGCTGTGCCACCGGGCCGACCCCTGATTTAGTACATTTTAAATTAAAACAAAATGTGTTATAAGGCACTTATATATTATAGAATTAGAGTAGGATATTAAAACCTCTAAATTACATGATTTTTTAAAACAAATAATGGTGGAAATACATGTTTTGAGAGATTTTTTTCCCCTCTACCAACAATTTACATTAATATAAGTAGTTAACTTTTTTCATGTAAGAATATAATAATTAGCATTAGTAGTTTTTTCTGTTTATATTTGCCTGTTTCATGAAGCTGAAAATTTTAATTTTAAGATAGTGATCTGAAAACTGAGAAGGATTGAGTGGTGTCGTGTACAATAACAGTGTATTAATACAGACATTTCTTTCATTATATGTTATCTTAAAAGGCCGTGTTTTGCTAATAAAGCGGTAAAGTTGGAAGGGCAGGTGACAGATTAGGGAATTTTGAGATGATAATTTCAGATAACTTGCAGAAAAGTTGTTTGGTATTGTTTAATTATTACTGTGATGTAGATAAAAGGAGACATTAGGAGGGAAGTGAGGGAGGAAGGAGAATGGCCCACATTTTTTGGTTGGATGAACCTAATCAGCTCGTGTAATAAAGTTTAACTTCTCAAGAAATTAAGCAGGTGTAGAAAACCACTGTTTTATAAAGGACAATTAACCTAACTCTAATCCATAATGAAAAGAAATGCATCTGATTTGGAAATAAGACTCTTTTTTTTGAGATATTTATTAAAATAAATCCTATGTTATACCATTTTCACTAGTCAGGGAAAACTTAGGAAAATTTTCCCTTTCTCATTCAAAAATTTCCAAGTTTTAATTTCTGTTAGAAGTGATCCTGAGAACACCTTCGTCTGTATGTCATCCATAGTAACCTTTTGGAGTAATTTCCTTTGGCCTCCTCACCCCCAACCAAATCTTTCCGTAGCAGTATTTATCAGGTTATTTTGACCTGTTTGAAATAACACATTGAATATTGAAATAGTTTTATTTTAACATGAATAGATGCTATATATAGTAAAATAAAACAACAAAAACACCCACCATTGTATATATTTTAATTTATGGGAAACATGTCTTATCTGCCTTATAAACCCTGGTTTAAAATATTACCATTTTAAAAAAGTCATATTGTGGGCTTACTATATGAAATCTTTTTAATTATTAATCGTGAAAATTTTAAAAAAATGAAACCTTGGTTAACATGATTTGAAGAAAAGATCAAAATATTGATTTTACTTTTATACTACAATAAAGAAGGTAAATTGATTTAAGATTACAGAAAATGTAAAATATCAGGTTCATATGATTAAAAGAAATTGTTTTCTGTAGGTTTAGTTAACTAAGTAAACATTCCATTTTCCATCTAGTTTCATGGCATTATAAAGATAATTCATGAAAATGCATGGGGCTCTTTTTTTTTTTATTACTAGAACACATTTCTTTGAGTAAAAATTTATGTGAACATGACTTTTTAACTTTAATAACTTCAGAAGTCATCTCTTTCCTCTGCCTTCTCTTCCTCCAGACTTTTTCTTCCTGTGCTCAGTGATAACATGAGGAAAGTTTATTAGGAACCATTTTCTTTTGTTTCATCTTCATTTTTTGTTGTTTTTTTTACCATTTCATTCCTTTAGGGATTGTTCGCGTAGAGCAAAAGAATGACACTTTTTTTGACATGAACATCTTTGAAGATGGGCCTTATGAAGTTGGTGGAGAGACTGACCATGATGAAAGTCTAGTTCCTGTTCCTGCTAACAGTTATTTAGGTAGGAACGAGAGTAGACGGCATGCCTACGTTTTCAGAGGCCTCTGTGTGACACTCCCCTCACCAGACCCTCCACTTGTAGGCCAGGTGGAGCCAGGGGGCTGGGGCTGCATTTACTGGAATTTGATTTCAGCCTTGGTGATCCCATGGTAACCTGACTAATGCTTAGCATCCTTCCCTTCTGACCTGGGCTCCCTCAAGGGGGAGTAAACCTACTGTCTCCTAAAATCGTCTGTCCTTCCGCATAGAAATCTGTCTCCTGAGCTAATGTCGGCCTCTGCAACCTGAAACAGGCCATTCATGCAGCCCTGATAAAATGCATGGTTGTTAGCAGTAAGCTGAGCTGCTTCCCTCTCCTTTCAGTGCCTCTTTCTAGAGATACTCTTAAGAGCTACGCTTACGAAGTTACACTTAAGTGGCAGGTCAAGACCTCCAAGTCTTTCCTCTGTGATTGCCGTTCTCCGAGGGTTGGCCCTGCTTCTGGATTGGGACCCCCATGTCACAGGGCCCCTGGTGGGTGGCACAGGGGCTTTCCAGCTGAAGCTGAGCAGGACTGCTAAAGCAGCTTTGAGGACACCCAGATGGTGTCTAAGTGCCAATTCCTTAACTCCTAAGGCTTGTTTGCATTACTAATGGGTGTCCTAAATTATTCATGTGCATTATGGTAATTACACAAAGGCTTTTAACAGCTTTAATTCTTGGTATGAGTTGACATAAAGAATAATTACTGTGCATTTCTTGGAAAAAATGTAAAAAATCTCCTAAACCTAAACAGTAACCTATTTTTTTAAAAAAGAAAAGTACCCATATGCTAGAGATACTACTGGAACAATGGAAGGTAAAAAAGGAAAAAAATAGGTATAGATATAAGACTAATTCTAAACAGTGTGTTATAAACATATTCTCAAAAAATAGTTCTAATGTATAGATATGCATGAACAGTACTATTAATTTAAAAAAAAAACTTCAGACACTCCTCCTCCCCCAAAGTTAAAAATTTGGTGTGAAGGCATCGAAGGAAGAGAAAAGTTATACTTGTCACTTGTTTAGCACCTACCATGTGCTGTAAGTCAGGTACTTTATTCAGGTCTTATTCACTGCTTTACAGGTCTTATTTGATCTTCCCAACAATGTTAGAAAATAAGAATTATTGTCCCTTCATTGCTGATAAAAAATACTGTGACTTAGGGAGATTAATTTCCTTGTCCAAGGTCACACAATTAATAATCCCTCAGGCGAGGAAAGAAATGCTCATGGAAATGACTGGAGCAGAGTGGGAAACAGCTGGGTGTGTGAATGCTATGTTAGTGGCTTTAGTGGCTTTACAGGACAGGAAGGGAACACAGGGCTGAGCGGTTTGCAGTCTCAATTATTACATATAGTTTTTAAAGGTAAAATCCTTTTCAAGGTAAATATTATCAACAAGCCAATATTTTATCTGAATATATTTTAACAGACAACCTCTCTTCAAATCAGTTATTTAGGGATTATTTTATGATGAGAAGTATTTAATTTGAATGGCTCTAGTCAAGAAACCGACACTTTGGTCTTTAAGATAGATGCCCATGGATTTTATAAACTTAGCTGCTAACATTTGAAAATATTAAACTTTGTTTATTGAACATATTTGCCACTTTTAGAATGGATTTCCTCAAAAGTAGATGCCTAGGGGAAAAAGTCAAGTTTGTACTGTTACATTTTGGTTGTTCATGCTGTCTGTGCATCTGTCATTTCAAAAAATCAGTTTCAGGAATAAAATGATCTGCTTGAGGTTTTGGAAGCCGGCAAAGAGGGTGGCTTGCTGGCTACCGTGGTGGCCTCATCATCTAGCGAGCACGCAGCGGCCGTCATGTCTCTTACCAAGCATAATTGCTTTTTCTTCAATCTCTTCTGTCCCATGCATGTGTACAGGCCTGCTGTTTTTGACCAGCGTTTCCTATACAGATCCCGATCAGTTTGTTTATAAAACACAGCCTCCCAGGGAGCAGCCCGACACATCCCCGGATGTGATGATGAATAGCTACCTAGGTTTGTGACCTCTGAGATGACAAATAAATTGTCTTGGTCATGGTCATTTAAAAATTTTTTTGATTCATACAGAGCATAAATCTTTTTATTTTCTATTTCATTTCAAGTGAAGCACAGATAAAAAGCATGCCATGGTTGAGGCTCTGCAGCCAGATGGTTTTCAGAGCTGGATTTGATTAGATCGCCCTATTTTAAACTTGTAGCTCATCGTATTTTTCAACTCACTTCACAATTTGAGAACTGCAACAGTAGTGGTGAAGCTTTTCATAAACAGAATCCAATAAAAAGAGTGAGCCTATACGATTCCGCATCTGCCTCGCCTTTATGTAGGAAGTTTTGCTGAATTTGAATGGTTTCAATATGGGCATTTATATTTGCTTGCCACCAAATCTCAGTATTTGTAATCTGTCATCCTACCTGATGCTTTATAATTAGGTGTCCTAATGTTTTGCTGCCCTCTGATCAAGTACGTAATATAGATGACAACTTGCTCACCTCTATTGTTTATACTAGGTTCTCAAATACTGTATCTCATCAGTCATGGTTTTGTTTGCATGTTTGTGTCTGAGAACTCAGTTGATCCAAAATAATGAAATGCTGTCTGTGGTATATTAATGATGTTAGTATTTGTTCCTGTCTAATTACCAAGGAGATTGATGAATGTGGAAGTTACTAATCATTACATTATAGCAGAACCCTATGACATGCACTCAATTATGCTATGCTACGTCAGGTTGTATCTCTTTGTGTATGACGTAACTTTCCCATGATAATTCAATAGCTAGCTTGATCTCCTTTTACAGCAATTCCAGTACTAAAATGAGGTTCGAATTGATTAAGATACATGAATGCTTCATGATTCAAGTTACACAAATGCTAAATAGCATAGGTGCTTTTCTTTGAAAGTCTTGATATATTTCCATAGAAAGCAGTAAAATAGCCTACTACTTTATACTTGTGTCAAATCTCTTAGCTCTGTAACTCTTTCCTATGATAAATATGATAGCTAGTGGGGAGGGGTGGGAAGCAAAAGGAAAAGATAGTGATGGAGTTACCAGTGTTAGATACCTTTTGAAAAACAGTTGATTTGAACTGTATTTTGTTTTTCTAGGTTTTTCTTTGGACTCAGGGAAAGGTATTGTTTCTAAAGATGAGATCACTTTTGTATCTGGTGCTCCGAGAGCCAATCACAGTGGAGCTGTGGTTTTGCTAAAAAGAGGCGTGAAGTCTGCACATCTTCTCCCTGAGCATATATTTGATGGGGAGGGTCTGGCTTCTTCATTTGGCTATGATGTGGCAGTGGTGGACCTTAACAAAGATGGGTAAGAGCATCTTAGGTTATTTTATATTTGCAAAGGAATCCTTGCTTCTTTGGCTTCTGTGGGTCTTGAAAAGAGCCATCCCTTAGGGTTAGTTGATTCAAAGAATATTTTTGCTGCCAGGTTTTTATCATCCCATCAGATCTGCATCACTTATATTTTGGCAGCAGGCATTCATTACTCCCCTAGGGTGTAGAATTACATTTTCACTTTTTACTCATGTCTTGGGATCATAGGTCCATGAGAATTAAAATTGGGAAAAAAAAATTTAACTCGAAAAATGACACCTACAGGGTTCTGTTCTATGGTTTCTTAAGGGGCTGTTGGAGCATCCAGAATGTCCTGTTGAAAGTAAGGATTGGGAACTGATCAATACATAGGTCTATGGCTGCTGGTGCCAGTTTGGGTCCAGGGTGGAGGGTGGAACGTGGAGGGGAGTGGAATCTTTGCTGGGAGTCGCTCTGCACTATAGATCTAACCTGGGGAAGGGCTTCAAGGTCTTACCCTCAATATTTTTCTTTGGGCGTTTATTATAGGCTACCTTGGTTTTTTAAGAAAATATTTTAATTGATGAGATATAAATTCCCGATTTGAGGTCCTTTCTATCATATCTCTTTTGTCCTTAGTACTTGGGCTGGTGGTATTCTCCCTAAGTTCGCTGATATTTTAGCTGGTGATCCACAGTTCTTCTCCTCATTATGTTTCTAGGTGGCAAGATATTGTGATTGGAGCCCCGCAGTATTTTGATAGAGATGGAGAAGTTGGAGGGGCAGTGTATGTCTACATTAACCAGCAAGGCAGATGGAATAATGTCAAGCCAATTCGTCTTAATGGAACCAAAGATTCTATGTTTGGCATTGCAGTCAAAAATATTGGAGATATTAATCAAGATGGCTACCCAGGTAGATAATAGATTGTCAAATGGTAATGATTTATAGCTAGATTATTTGATTGTCTAAAATAATGATTGCTCATGGCATCTTATTTTAAAACACTATATTGGGCCGGCCGCGTGGCTTAGCGGTTAAGTGTGTGCACTCCGCTGCTGGAGGCCCGGGTTCAGATCCCGGGCATGCACTGACGCACCACTTCTCCAGACATGCTGAGGCCGTGTCCCGCATATAGCAACTAGAAGGATGTGCAGCTATGACATACAACTATCTACTGGGGTTTTGGGGGGAAAAAATAAATAAAATCAAAAAAATAAAACAAAATAAAACACTATATTGGAATGTTTTAAAAAATGTAATGTTAAAATGTCATGTTGTCAACAGATATTGCTGTTGGAGCTCCCTATGATGGTATGGGAAAGGTTTTTATCTTTCACGGAGCTGCAAATGGAATAAATACCAAACCAACACAGGTAACCAAATAACCTAGATTTCCACAATAAGGGTCTCAGCTTTTTGCCTTGTAATAGAATATTTACGTTTAAGTGAAATTTCACACCAATCATATTTCATGTACAAATCTACAATAGTATGAATTTTATGTTTTTAAATGTATTATTAGAAGATAGCTTGGAAATAGATATAAATGCAAGAACTTGCTTGTTTTAATTGTAAGAGTTCTTTGATAAGTTAGGAGTCAAAGTAATCCAAAGGAAAAGACTGTTCTACCTGACAGCATGAATAGATGGAAATGTGATATAATTTCTTTAGGAGCGTACCATATAGAAATGAAACTGGGCAAACGAAAGAGATGATTGTAATTGCATGGAGAATTCACACACCAAAAATTAAAAATTGCTTTAGAGAAAAATATGACATTTGGAGGGCAGGTAGAGACGTTTGGTTTGAAATACCCTGATTGACTTAATATAGTAAACAAGCTCATCAAAAATTGGCTCTTTTATCCTTTGAGATATGATATAAATCGGATGACTTTTATTAAATGAAATGTATGAAGTGTTAGATCATATGTATACTTATTTATAATTTATTTATAATTTTATTTATTTTTAAGTAAACTCTTAAACTTTAATTCAAAAGAAACTTGTATGTCTTTTTCAAAGCATATATAAGCTCATTTTGGTGGCCCAGTGTCCATTCTGATGCCCTGTTCATTTCAGATTCTCGAGGGTAAATCGCATTCTTTTGGATACTCAATTGCTGGAAATATGGACCTTGATAGAAACTCCTACCCTGATGTTGCTGTTGGTTCCCTCTCAGATTCAGTAACTATTTTCAGGTGTGTTATCTCTGACTTCAGTTAAGCATGTTCAGTAATAATCAGGTTACACTAAAATTTTGACCTTTTGAATTGAGATTTGTAATACCTATACTTCAAAGGCAAAGGCTTGTATGAATTTTGAAGATTTTTCTTTTAGGAGTAGTGTAACAATGTAATAACCTATTTTGCTAATTTTGAACCAATTGAGGAAAAGGTCAGAATTGGTGAAAATTTTTACTTCATAAACGTATTTTAAAAACTTTTATTGGAAGAAAACCAAAACATATTTGACAGTGCAAACAATATAAAGAAGGAAGTAAAAATCGCCTATATTTCACCATCCATTATTAAACGCCAGAGTTTTGGTTTATATCTTTCTGGTCTTTTATTTTCTGTGAATATACATGTATGTTTAACAAAATTGAGATCATAATGTACATATTGTTTTGTGACCTGCCTTTGTCAGTTTATAATGCCTAGTGGACTTTTTTCCAGGTAAGTGAGTTTATAATGCATAGTGGGGCTTTTTCCTTGTTGTTGAGTACTTTTCTGAAATGAAATTAATGACCATCTATGAGGCATCACATGGCTGGATCATAGTTTATTCACAACTGCCATACTGTCATTGGACATTTATGTTGCTTTCCAGGTTTGTTTTTTTCCCGTGATACACAAAGCTGTGGTAAGCATCCTTACTTTTGTTCATGTCCTGGATATTTCCTTATGATAAATTTCTACAAGTGAGTTGCTGAGTTGAAGGGCATATGTGATTTAAGACTTTTCGTTCAGGGTCACCAAAATGACCTCCAGAAAGGCTGCAATGGCTTGCCGATCAGCTGTGTTTGAGTCCAAGTTTCCCAGTGATTTTGTCACGGCTGGAAATCACCATTAAAAATTGTTTATTTATTTTTATTTTACTTTAAAAGTAGCACATTCTCAAAAATGTTAACACAGAATTACAGAAAGTCCAAGTTCCCCAGTATTCCCATCTTCCACAGAACAATTTTTAATAGTTGAATACCTCTCTCCTGCTAGGGTATCATCAAGAGGCCATACTGTAACCTCTGTTCTCCAATCTGATTTTTAAAAATCTTGCCTCTTTCAGTTCTCTCTCCTTGTCAGAATAAGATATATCAATCTTATTCTTTTTAACAACTTAATATTATTCTATTATATGCATTTGATTAATCCTTAACCGATGGAATTTTTAGATAGTTTCTTACCTTTAACTGTTATAAACAGTGTGCTTTAGTGTATTGTATGTATTTCTATGTAATGGGGCTGTTTTTTTCTTAAGAAAAATTCCTAGAAATGGAATTCCTGGGATAAAAGTTAGTACATTTTTGTATTAATATGTATACCCACAGAAAAGTAACAATTTATACTCATGGCAACAACCTATGAGAGGGCCTATTTTCTCACACTCTTACCAACATTGAGCACAGTGAATCTATTTAACTTTTGCCTGTGTGATATGTGATCTCATTTTTTGATTGAGTTTGCAGTTCTTTGATGCTAATGAGAATGAACCATTTGGTTTTTTTTTTAGAATATTTGGCTTTATAGTCATTTTTATCACAAAGAATATCTTTAAAGAAATGTGCAATAATGTACAGTGAAACCATAAATGAAAAAAAAAACTGTGCCATGTGTATACTTGGTGCCGTCATTGCCGTGTAGACTTCCAGAAGGGTGCCAGGTCTAGCTGTAGCCTCAATATCTGAAATACAATCCTAAGCAAAACCCCTGGGGATAAGAAACTGATACCAGGACATTTCTAAAGAGAAGACTATAAAAAAGAGAATATAGTATATGTATATAGAATATAGTATAGGATACCACAGAAAAATAGTTTTCTGGCAAGAAAACTGGTTTAAATGGCAAGATCTATGAACGCCATTTCACATGAAAACTAAGAACCACAGGAGAAGCTACAGATGGTAAAAGTAGGAGATGTGAAAATAAGTGGAGAATAATGTATCTGAGATATTAGTGAGACCAAAGGAAGAAGTCAAAAAAAATTCACTTAACTAAACGAACAGGTGTAAATGATTGGATAAAGAAAGAGCTCAGGAAAACATTGACACATCAGTAGTGGTTTGTGTTTGTGGTGATAACTATCAGTCCCAGGAACCTCTTGACTCTGAGCTGTCACATTGGGGAGTGGTGTGGAACTGTGTGCCCTCCGAGGTTAAAGCATTCAACTTTGTTCTATCTATCAAATAGATAGAACTGCCCTGATTTGCCTGTTTCTCTCTGTTCATACAGGTATTAACTTTAAAATATTCAACATTTTTAAAAGGTAGAAGAATATGTAACATTCAAGTATTTCAGCAAAGTTTCCATCAAAAACCAATTTGAACTTCTAGTTCTAGTTTGGGGTACAGCCCTCAAGTATCAGAAGACTTGACTTCCTGTACCAAAATTTGGTTTCCAGATCTTCCCCAGTACATGACCTCTCTTTAGTCAGTTAAATATTTGCCTCTGTGGGTAACTGACATTTTAATACCCTTACTTTCCTGTCCTCGTGAAGTAGGTTATGAACCCTGTAAACTTGTTCCTTCTTTCCTCATAGATAGTGTGAAAGTAAATTTCAGAATCCTTTGATAACAAGAGGAGAACCGACTCCCTTATCTTATAAATAAGGAAATGGAGGCGCAGGGCTCGCTTGAGCTTTTAAGGCTGGATCCTGTGAGGACACGATCCTAACTTCTGTCCCGAGCATTTTTCCCATTAAATCATACCAGTACTTCAGGGTAGTTAGTAAATAAATGCCAATTAAATACAAGGCAGCTGAGCCAAAGATTTGCTTTAGGTGTTAAGACACATTTTTCATGATTCATATATCCTGTGCACTTAAAATTGTGTGTGTATATTGTGTGTTTAAAACACAGAAGTAAAAATAGTTTTAGGCAGAAGTGTGTGTTAAAATATTTCCCTTTGAAATTTATGCCACACTAAAGCATTAGTACTGTGCTATGTTAAACACACTATCATCTGTTGCAACTGGTTTTAAAATATTTGTGAATTTTTGTCTTTTAAATATGCTCTCAAAACTTGAAGAATGTATCTAGTTAGTATCTTAGAAACTAGCAGCTGTCTAAATGTAAAATAGCAATAGAAAGGTAAACAATTGAAATAAAGGGAAGTTGAGAAGGGAATGTGGGAGCATTTGCCCTTTTATTGGCTCCCACCTTCCCCATGAATATACCTGTTCCCTCTGTATAGCCTACTGATAGATTGATTCAGAAGTTTGAGCCAGCCGTTTGGGATTTAGAATGCATTTTCCTATATAAACACTGTTCTCCGGGATGGCTGGGTTTACCACAAGCTCACTAAAGTCAGTCTAACTGAATCCGTGTGGTGATGACACCATGGAACCCATTCTGAGTGCTGGCTGGGGAGCAACGGAGATGAGAGGTACAGTGTCTCTGCATCCCACTCGTACCTCAACCACCATATACTTGCATTTCTTGTGCCTGTGGTCAGGCTGTAGGCTGGTGGTGACCCCTTTGACTGTGGAGGGTAGAGGAGAATATATAAGGGAGAAAAACATGTTTTTATATGGTGAGAAGGGCTAAAGATGTGGATTCCAGCTCCTTGAGTGTTTGCGAGGTTGGAGTCAGAGCAGAGACGGGGAAGGTTAAGGGATGCAAGTTTTTGCTTACCGAGAGATTGTGGGGGTAGAAAAGTTGTAGTCAGTTCTGGCAGCAGAAGGACAAAGACAAGGTTGGGAGTGGGAGATTCCGAGGAGGATGAGGAAGGGCATATATTTGTAAGATGGAGACCTATAAGTTCAGGGTCTGTATTACTAAAATTCACATGTATGTAGAAACTCAGATATGGTGTAATCTTTTTGGAGGGTATTTTGGCAAGATTACTCATAATTAAAAAATGTACATATTCTTTGACTCAGAAATTCTGCCGGCAGGAGTTTATCCTACAGATAAATTCAAATATGTGCCTAGATGCATATACAAGGATGTTTGTCAGAGCTGAAAGCCTAAAACAATAACAATAAATGTCTACCGATTAGGGACTGGTTAAAGAAATGGCGTTGTGCTGGTGCAGTGCACCACCAGCGGCTGTGAAAGCCAATGAGCTAGATTTACATGTATCGATATGAGAAGACCTCTGAAATGTTACTGAAAAGGCCACATGCAGCACAATAAGTGTGAAAAGCTCCCATTTAAAAAAATTATATGTATGTTTCTTTATTTAATTTTAGATAATATTTTTAACAGAAACAGACTGTGATGTGTGTCTGGAAGGACATACTTAGGGATTTGGGGGGGGACGGAGATGTAATATTTGCCTAAAAACTCTGGAACTTTTGTATATTGTACATATTACTCTTTCAATTGAAAAACTCTAATATTAAAACTATACAACATTTTATTATTTAAATGTATAAAAATGTTTTCTAAATATTGTAGAATCAGGTTTTATACTATATCTGTTAACAGTTATTTTCTTTATCAATGGGGGAAAATAATCACATGTGGGAACATTTTTTTTTTTTCCCCTGTGGTTTGTAAGATGTAGTGAGCAGCTAAGGATGCCCCTAGAATATGAACTCATCTTACATTCAAGGTAGCAGAAGCCTTGTTTTTACTCCTTTGTCTTCAGATCCCGGCCTGTGATTAATATTCAGAAAACTGTCACAGTAACACCTAACAAAATTGATCTTCGCCAGAAAACGGCCTGCGGAGCACCTAGTGGGATATGGTGAGAGTTTCGGCTGTGTCCACGTAATCCCCCTCAGTTTCACACCTCTGCTTGATGATGACCCTCTGTCCTGAGGAGCCACAGGGAATATTAAAAGAGAAATTTAATCTTTTAAAAGGGAAGGGAATCTGTCAAGTGAATATATAACATTTTACTCATCAGTGGGCAGTGGGGGGATTTGAGAGCTGGGGAACATGCTGGGGGTTTTTCTGTAATGCATCTTTTAAGAAATATGTGTTTGATTTTATACAGCCTCAAGGTTAAGGCCTGTTATGAATATACTGCCAAACCCACTGGTTACAATCCTTCAATATGTAAGTACCTAGTAGATTTAAAAATTGTATATTTTCTGTCTGCCAGGTTGAAAGTTCTGCATAAATAACAGAAAAATAAAACTGCAATGACCAAAATGGGTCCATAAATTCTTGTTAAAAAATTAAGTATATCTGTTGTTTCCTCTTTAATCAGGAGGGTGAAGCACATGAGGGAAAAACTCTCCATTTGGTCCCCATTTGAATTTTCCAGAGCAGATGGTTTAGGACAGAATGCCTTGGAAAAGTACTCATTTGCTACCACAACTGTTTCCTCCGTTTCTGCCTTTGAAAAGCAGTGTGGAAAATTGGTTTTGTGGTGGTGAGGTGGTGAGGTGGTGGGTGCTGGTTGTAGGAGCGTGACAGGGGAGCTGGAGTACCACACAGAATAATTGCCAGTTTATACTCTCTTTGCTCCCCGCTCCCCTCCCAAAGAGGCCTCATGGCCCAGAACACCCAAGCTGTGTCCCCGAGTGCAGGCCCTTGGGGGGATTTGAAGGCTGGCCTTGAGAGTTCAGAGACTTGGGCTCTGCTCCTGGTTCCAACTCTGTTGCCGACTGACCCTACAACACAGGCAGGTCCCTTAACATTAGAGTTTGTATTTTCCCATCAGTTAAAAAAATGCCTCTGATAGAAATTACTATATAGCGTTGTGATGGAGATCAAATAAGATAATGTCGTGAAAGCAGTTTGTTGTTTATAAGGTATTATTCTGCTTCCTTTCCTGATAATCCAAACAGGATTTTGCCACAAATTTTGACAGGGCTAATGATGCTCTAACAATAGCAATTATCACCAAGGCCTTCTCTGGGATGTTTTAGTTGCACCATACCTCTTCAGGTGTGAGCCACCTGCCCAGCTCCAGAGTGAAGATGGGGCTGCAGAATTTAAAGGAAATCTTTTCCCCAAAGAGGAAGTACAAAGAGTGAGAGTGATTTCCATCCTGGGTCAGGCCACGGTCCTGGCGGCTCAGGATTGTGGTATAGCGTGCCCCAAGGGAAGCTTTCTGGAAGGACAAGGTGGTTCTGTCCTTTTCATGGTTTTCTGTTTTTACTCCATCTGGAGGTAATGAGTTCTCTTAAGGTTTCTCCACGTTATCTAAAGTATTACTCTGTTTTCTTTATTAAAAAGATGTCCCTTTTAATATCCCAGAATTTGGCAAATAAGTCTACCTTCACCCAATTCACGCTGTGCTAAGCCCACTTAGTCTTCATCTTTCCTGATTTTAAGCTCTCCTTGGGTGGTTTCTTCATCTCCCTGATCTTTTTAGGCCCCTTCTGCTGGGCAGTCTCCTGCTCTATCATCTCTCCATGGGATCTGCAGACCTGGCATAAAGCATGCTTGGTGTCCGTGTATTATGACTTTATGCACGGGGGGGAACAGTGGCCTTGCACTTTGCTTTTTGATGTGGCTGGCATTTATTGAGTATAGAAAACAATTCTTTGTGTGGCTTTTAATGACAAGAAAACATCTATGATTTCTTACGATCTGTCATCCTTTCAGTATCTTTTGTGTTATTTTTACCCAAATGCAATACCTTACGCTTGCCCGTGTGGATAATGGACCTTCTACCATTGTGTTCGGAAGTGAACTAGAGAGACGAGGAGAAACAGTGGTTCTTTGACTAGGCAAGGAGAAGAAATGGGGAAACGTTTTCATTCTGTTAGTCTGTCATTTTCTCAGACCACTCTCAGTTTGACTATAGATGTGAAATCTCATCAGAGCACTCCTTATCCCCCCAAATCAATCATTTATATAAAATAAAGTAAAACTTGCTTCTTGCTTTAATGCAGTGTTTGATGCTATGGGTATTAATTTTATGTTACATAACTACTCCGTTAACCAAGTGTTTATTGATGGCTATTATGGGTAAAACTTTTTTCTCTGAAGATATTTAGAGAAAACCTGTTTTCATTACCTGTATTTCAACAGTATTGGGAAATTCTAAATCAAATAAAACAGAGCTTCCATAAAGCTGCTTAAGTTAGTACATCTAAAATCTGTTCCCAGTGTCTGAGAATTGAGCTTATTGTTTAACCAGGCTTTTTTAAATCAGCGGTCCTCAGATGTGGTGTTCCATACATACAGATATTTATAATTGAGCCTTAATGAGTATTCTACTTGGCTGGCCCCTCAAAAGGTCAGCAAAGGTGACCTGCAAGGATTTTAAGATGATGTGAACTGTCTGGAGGGTTAGAGAAGGTTAGAGTGGGTTTGGTAGATAAACGGTTTTAACGCACCCACACCCTCCCCTACTTTTGCCGTGAGGGGCACTCAGCATGTGAGCCTTCATCTGGTTCATTGTGAAGTTAGCAGGTCACCGATAAATGGATGATGTCAAAGCTACAGAGGGCCTAAAATGGAGGCGCATTCCATTTGGCAGCCGTGACATTAAAGAATTCTTAAGATGGACTCAGAAATTACTATTGAAACTGTCAGTGCTTCTAAATTTTGGTCTCACACATCTGAAGAGCTATCGTTTCAGCATAAGAGTAACGTCACATTGTGTGTGCGCGCACAAATGTGCATTGTATGTATGTTGATACCAGATACTCTCACTTCCGTTCATCTTGTCTACACGTCATATTTCTATCAGGTGTTGTGCTGTTGCTGGGGAATACAGTGATGAACAGAGTGCTGTGGTCCCTGTTCAGGGCTTTGCCTAGGGAAGATGGTCAAGCAGTTACAGCACAGTGGGCTAAGTGTAGTCATTGGAGAAATAGAAAACTGTTGGATCCCCCGGTGGGGGAAGCCAGGAAAGGCTTCCTGGAGGAAGTGATGTCCACGCTGAGATCTGGAGGAGGAGTAGGGTTAGCCAGGCAGTCGGGAGAAGTGGAAAAGGAGGGGCTCCAGCTGGCAGAGGGAGAGAGTGACTCATACAGAGGCCTGGAGGAAGTGGGAACTGGACATATAAAGCAATCATCTTTTGTCTTTGCGACAGAGACTTAGAAGCTGGTGCTGCCTTTGTCCCTCGCTGTATGGCCCTGGGCCAGTCACCTAACTCTATGGGCCTCCATTTCTTCATCTGTAAGAAGAGGGTATTAAAATAAATGATCTCAAAAGGTCTCTTCCAAACTCTAGCGTGAATATTAGAACATGAGTTGCTGATAATTTTCTAGGTTTTCTGGAGCAGATTTTTTTCCTTGAGGCTACCTTCTCTGGCCCTGTACACACTTTGGTTTGCTTCCCCTTCTGATGGTTAGTGAGTGATTAATGAATGTATGTTATTTAAGTATTGGCCCATAAAGAAACATAGCAGCTACATCCAGGGAACCGGCGAAGAATGCATTCTGAAGTCAAGAAAGGAGATTTTGATCATCCAAATCCTGTCTTGCCTCCAGGCTCCATTAGTATAGGTAATCAAGAGCAGGATGTGCCTTCCAGAGCTTTGGAGAGTGGAAGCTTTGGTTGTGGGAGCTATATTACAGGCCCTCTAGCCACTCAAAGGAATATATTTTACCTTTTATTTATTTTTTATTTATTTTTTTGCTGAGGAAGATTAGCCCTGAGCTAACATCTGTGCTGATCTTACTCTATTTTGTACGTGAGTTGCTGCCACAGCATGCCTGACCAGTGGTGTAGGTCCACGCCCGGGATCTGAACCTGCGAACCTGGGCTGCTGAAGTGGAGCGTGCCGAACTTAACCACCAGGCCACAGAGCTGGCCCCCTTTTAATTTTTTAAGTGAAAAGTCTCATCCTATTGTCAAAGGACTTCTCCATCTCTAATGTATATTATTCCTTTTTTAGACAACTATCCTTTACCAGTGCTTATTAAACTTTAATGTGTATAAGAACTACCTGTAATCCTGTTAAAATGCAGAGTCTGGTTCAGCAGGTCTGGCTGGGGCTTCCTAACAGACCTCAGGAGATGCTGCTGCTGGTGGTCTAGAGACCTTTTTTGAATATCAAGGCGCTAGGCCATTTAAGCATGGGACTATTAAGGGAAAGTCAGTTTAGGCCCTTAGGGAGTGTTGAGTCCCCTCCTGTTATCTTTAGTACTCTGTGAGTTCTTGAAATTCAGCCAGAAACTGATTCTTAGATGCTGCTCACAGGTTTTGACTTATTCTTGAGCTCCCCCAGGTGGCCCAGTGAAAATTTAACTTTAAAACATTTGTTAACAGCAATGGGCAGGAAAGGACAGTTTGATTTGAAACATCCTCAGTCAGTCAAAATGTACATTACCAGGAAATATGAAGAGAAACAATGGCAGTGGGAAAAAGTGTTCTTCTGCAAGGAATTGAAATATTTTAAAAAGGAGCTCTGCCTACTTATAGCTGAATTGTGCATGAATGCACTTTAAGTTCATGTGATTTTGTTTGTTTCATCTAGCCATTGTGGGCACACTGGAGGCTGAAAAGGAAAGAAGAAAATCTGGGCTGTCCTCAAGAGTTCAGTTTCGAAACCAAGGTTCTGAGCCCAAGTATACTCAAGAACTCACTCTGAACAGGCAGAAGCAGAAGGCGTGCATGGAGGAGACCCTCTGGCTACAGGTGAGGGCTGTAGACAGTCAAATCAGTGTTGTAAAGGGGACAGAAGTTGGGTTTTATGGTGGCATATGTAGATTTCTGACATTTATACTAGCAACCCATTGTTCAATTATGCAATTCAGTACAAAATAAGGCATTGGTTTAGGAGTCCCCAAAAACATTTATATCATGCTTAACCATATCGCTGCATACTTTTCAGGAGAATATCAGAGATAAACTGCGTCCCATTCCCATAACTGCTTCTGTAGAGATCCAAGAGCCAAACACTCGGAGGCGAGTGAATTCACTTCCAGAAGTTCTTCCAATTCTGAATTCAAACGAACCCAAGACAGTTCATACAGACGTAAGTCTTCCTGACTTTTGTTTCCCCATGTTATTATGCTAAATCAAATGTCTTTGAAAGCAGTAGAACTAGTGGTTTGCTTTAAAGGCCGTTTCTTTGTGGTAAGTAAGCTTTTTAATATATGCCAAGTTTGTTTGAGAAGATTTGTTTCCCAAATTAGCAGTGAATATAGAAACATACAGAATACAATTTGGAGCCAGAGAGTATTTTTCTTAATAATTTTTGGCCACTGCAACTTATTAAGACTATAATTGGCAAAACTTATTATTCTCACATCAAATTTCTCTTCTAGCTGTATGTAGAAAGAAAAATAACATTCTATTTTACCACTGAGAACATTAAAATGTAGAAAACAAACTGTCAGTCTGAACATTAAAATTAAGGAATATCAAAATTCAGCAAGGCAAAATAAGTATTAGCAATGCGGGGCCAGCCCAGTGGCGTAATGGTTAAGTTCGTGTGCTCTGCTTTGGCGGCCTGGGGTTCGCAGGTTTGGATCCCTGATTCAGACCTATGCACCGCTTATCAAGCCCTGCTGTGGCAGGCATCCCACATATAAAGTACGGGAAGATGGGGACGGATGTTAGCCCAGGGCCAATCTTCCTCAGCAAAAAGAGGAGGATTGGCAATAGATGTTAGCTCACGGCTAATCTTCCTCACCAAAAACAAAAAAAAAAGTATAAGCAATGAAATAGTCATTTAGTGCCTAATGTAGCCTAGGTAGTAATCTTGGGAAGAAAAACTTATGTTAGAATATGGCTTGCTGTATACCTCATATGAGGTGGGGTCTATTTGCTAGGGTTTAGGATGGTTGAGATGCAAGATTAGGCCAGGGGGCTGTGACATCTTGATTTGTCATTATGCACTTGCTGTCAAAATCCAGTTGGTGCTGCTTGTCTGCTCTGAGGTTCCTGGTTCTGGTGGCCCACTGACAAAGCTTTCCAGAAGTGAGTACTCACTGCGTTAGGCTTAGGAGCTGATGCCTAAATCTACACGTCGTCAGTCTTCATTGTCACCAAGTATAGTTCCTTATACTTTTGTATACTTTTTTAATATACTTTTGATGTTATTGATTATCACATTAATATTTCTTGGGTGTATTCCCAGCTCCGTAGTCATGTTAAACATAACAAGCAAGGGGATAGTTTTCCTAATTATTTATCAGCGTGATTATTTTGAGCACCTTTTAGCACTGTGCTAGATACTCCGTGCTATTTGCTTTCCTGACCTGAAACTGTTTCCACATCTGTACAATGGGGCTCATAATAGTATCTTCCTAATAGGTCTGTTATGAGGATTAAGTGAGTTAAAATATGTAATCATGTGTTGAGTAGCATCATCATTATTATTGTAATTATTACAGTAGCCCTATAAAATAGCGTGGTGGTATCCCCATATTACCGTGACAAAACTTAGACTCTGGGGCCAGCCCAGAGTTCACACGTTCTGCTTCGGCAGCCCAGGGTTTTCCGGTTTGGATCCTGGGCTCAGACCTACTCACTGCTCATCAAGCCATGCTGAGTTGGCGTCTCACATAGAGGAACTAGAAGGACCTACCCCTAGGATATACAACTATATACTGGGGGCTTTGGGGAGAAAAAAGAAAAAGAGGAAGATTGGCAACAGACGTTACCGAAGGGTCAGTCTTCCTCAAAAAAAAAAAAAAAAAAAAACCCCAGACTCCGAAAGGTTAAGTGACTTGCTCAAAGCCACACAGCTAAGGGAGCAGCAGAGCCAGATTGGAACGTAGACCTGTGTGGCTCAGGGCTCACACTGTTTCCTACACCACGCTACCTCAATGCCCTTCTCAAAGCATTCTTAAAACCGGGTTTTGTTAAAGGGTAGAGTGGGCATTCAGTGCATGGCAAAGTATGTTTGAAGCTTGGATTCTGCTATGGTAGTTGTCACACAGGGAAATGAACTGTATGGAAACAGCCAGTCACCTATTGAGAGTCCTAAATGGCGTAAATTACCATGGTTTTGTTTTCCTACAGGTGCACTTCTTAAAAGAGGGATGTGGAGACGACAATGTATGTAACAGCAACCTTAAGCTAGAATATAAATTTTGTACCCGAGAAGGAAATCAAGACAAATTTTCTTATTTACCCATGTAAGAATCGCTCTCTACTACTAGCAAAAATGACTCTGGCTTTGCAGTGGCTTTTTGTTAAGAAAGGGCTACTGAAAATGTATTGAGGACTTTGTCATTTTCTTTGGGTTTTTGTTTGTTTGTTTTGTTTTTTTATAGTCAAAAAGGTGTACCAGAACTAGTTTTAAAAGATCAGAAGGACATTGCTTTAGAAATAACAGTGACAAACAGCCCTTCCAGTCCAAGGAATCCCACAAAAGATGGCGATGATGCTCATGAAGCTAAACTCATTGCAACATTTCCAGACACTTTGACTTATTCTGCATATAGAGAACTGAGGGCTTTCCCTGTAAGTATTTTTAGAGACCAGCTGGGAGGGAAAAACCAACATTGTTGTGGCAAGTGACTGTATTGTGATCTAGTGTGGTTTTCTGTTATAGGAGAAACAGTTGAGTTGTGTTGCCAACCAGAACGGCTCACAAGCAGACTGTGAGCTCGGAAATCCTTTTAAAAGAAATTCCAGTGTAGGTGACGCCTTCAAATATTGTATTTTACTGTTTTAAATACCATTACAGTGTCGATATGCTTGGCCTGTGTTAATGGCTATTTCTGTTTTTTAGGTTACTTTTTATTTGATTTTAAGTACAACTGAGGTCACCTTTGACACTAGACATCTGGATATTAATCTGAAGTTGGAAACGTAAGAGTTACTTCAACCTTTCCATTCAGAATTATTTCACGAAAACACAGCCAGTCAATGAATTGGCTCTGATCTAACTCATAAAAGAAGTATAATTGTAATGAGAAAACTGACTGTTAAAATAAAACCCTATTGTTTCCTTTTCATTTTCAGAACAAGCAATCAAGATAATTTGGCTCCAATTACAGCTACAGCAAAAGTGGTTATTGAACTGCTTTTATCGGTCTCCGGGTAAGTGTTTGTGTTTAGCATAACAAATCAGTGTTTGAAAGAACCATTTACAATCCTCACTAAAACTGGTGTTTTTTAACTTAACAGAGTTGCTAAACCTTCCCAGGTTTATTTTGGAGGTACAGTTGTTGGTGAGCAAGCTATGAAATCTGAAGATGAAGTGGGAAGTTTAATAGAGTATGAGTTCAGGGTAAGTTTTGACAGTTGGTCCTTTTGTTATACATACTAGGAGCTAACATATATGATATATGGCCTTGAATATGTAATTTTAATAATATTAATAAGCATGATAAAAGCTCAGTTAAGAGTGAGTTTGCCAGTTTTTAAACAACATACTGGCTTATAGTAAAAGTTTGGTCTTCCAGAGTGGAGAACAACTGCCATTCAACACAGGACTTTGTTCAGAATCCAGTTCAGTTTGGTCTTTTTCTTATTAGGGAGTTTTAAATGTATAGGTGGTGTAGAGACAAAGGAATACTTGATTTTTCCCCCTGAGAGTCTGTCTATAAAACAAAGAAAAATCTCAAAGTAATTTATACTTGGCTTTAGAATGTGTTATGATTTATTTCTTCCTCCACATTGCTTATGGTTAACGGTCACCTTCCACAAGCCCAATTTTGTGCTGGTGAAGGTGGATTTGGCATCTGCCGGTAAGGGAGACTTATGATTGCTCTGAGCCATTTCAAAGTAGGCCATCACAGTGACTCTAAGTCCAGTAAAATGAACATACACACACAGGTACAGAGTTGGCTCATAACGCATATGTAGGTTTGGGTCTGTGTGGCTCAAATCACATTTCCGAAAGCATAGTGACTGTTGTTGAGGTGAAAGTCTGAAATGGCAAGAATGGGCCCCCCGTTGACTCCAGCAGGATGAAGAGGCTGAACTCTTCTCTGTGCATCTCTTAGCATTATAGACACAGTTGTGACCTGTAGTGGCGGTGGCTATGACGCATATGCAGGTGTGGCTGAAAAAGAAGTCTGTGGGTTCCAGGGCAGTCCTCCACGCAGACAAAGAAGGCTCTTATCTCTTTTGGCTTGTGCTGCAGCAAGTTGCTCCATCTCCAGCTTGGACTTGTAGATTCGTGGCTGCCATAATGGTTTTACTCAGAGTCTCGCAGTTATCCCAAGCCTCCCCTGGGTGACAGAGGACAGAGGCGGTTTCGTTTTCACAGTAGGTGGGGTTGCCCAGAAGCAGGTTGCTGGTGCACTGCAACAGCACAGGCTTTGTCGTCTGCCAAGCAGGGTGGTTACAGAGCGATTCACAAACACACATGTGAGTTTTCCCTGGGCGTGTTGAATGCGTGGCAGATCTACACTGCAGATTCTGTTGCACGCAGCAGGTGTGCTTGGATTGAATGAGCAATCATTTCTCTTTGACCTTTTTTTTTCCTTTCTTTCTGTTTTTATTGACAAGAATCTTTAAGCACAAATCTCTATGTTGAATATCCTATCTGTAGTCCATTTTTGGAGCCTGTGCTTTTATTGTAGGATTATGCCAGATATTTTGGCTTTTTTCTCTTGGCAATAGGAGCTGCTACTTAATTTTATGTTAAGAGAATTACACTGAGATAATGCGTATTATTTTCTAACAGGTAATTAACTTGGGTAAACCTCTTAAAAACCTCGGCAAAGCCACCTTGAATATCCAGTGGCCAAAAGAAATTAGCAATGGCAAATGGTTGCTTTATTTGGTGAAAGTAGAATCCAAAGAATTGCAGAATATAGCTTGTGAGCCACAAAGTGAAATAAACCTCCTGAGACTAAAGGTATGTTGCTGGATTTGTCTCACGTCTCCAGAGATGTAAATAAGAGAAACTAACTTTTGAGGGGGAAATCATTACTTTTAGGAAACTGACATTCTGGTGTGTTGACTTTTTCTTTGGTGTCACAATTTCTCTTTTATAGTTGAGTAACCAAGTCAGGCTGAGGATTTCTGCTGATTAGCGACCATTATGGTACATAAATCAGCGTCATTCAGTGCTTGTTGAAGCAAATGACATTTCTGAAGTTTTATGACCCGGTGTGACATATAAGGAGGACTGGGACCTGCTCCTGGGGGTGGGCCAGACAATGTGAACACCTAGTAGAACCAAACTCATTACAAAAGATTGGAACTTTAGCAAGTGACCTTGAAAGCTTTTCTTTTTTTTTTTTCTTTTTTTTGCCGAGGAAGATTTGCTCTGACCTAACATCTGTCGCAAATCTTCCTCTTTTTTTTTTTCCTTGAGGAAGATTCACCCTGAGCTAAGATCTGTGACCAATCTTCCTCTGTTTTGTGTGTGGGTTGCCACCACAGCATGGCTACTGATGAGTGGTGTAGGTAGGTCTGTGCCCGGGATCCAAACCCTGGCCACCAAAGCAAAGCACACCAAACTTAAAGCCTAGGCCACTGGGCCGGCCCCCTCATTCTTATTTTTTAAAATAGTAAATATCTGTTGAGTACATATTGTGTTTCAGGCATTGTGCTAATAAGCATTTTGTTTGTGTTTTCTCATTTCATTCTCATAGTCCTATGAGGTATTTTTCTTATCCTCACCGTTTCATAGATGAGGAAATTGAAATTCAGAGAGATTAACTTTCTCAGAGTCATTAGCAGCTAAGAGGCAGATTCTGCATTCAAGCCCAGCTCTGCTTGCTTCCAAAGCCTACACTCTTAACCCCTCTATACTACTCTACACTTATGTAACTGCTTTATCATTTATGCTCCGGTTTGATGAGAAGATTTGCTTTGTTATTGCATGTCTGTTTCTTTTAAGTTATAAGTGACTGGGTATGATCAGTGTTCATAGTTGGGTGGCTTATAGAATGATTCTCTATTCATCAACTTTGAAAAACAAGATGATCCATTATTCCTAATCTTTATTTTAAGGAAAATGCAATTTTAAAACTTCTTACGTGGTTTAGTTTTCAGTACTCTACTCTGAATAAGTCATATGCTTGTTGTTTTTGCTTCCTTCCCCATTTTTCAGTGTCACTTATTCAAGATGTGCTGACTTTTCACTGTGTGTTAGTTACTGAGCTGGGTGCTAGGGATATAGGAATGAGATTTGATCCCTGATCTCAGGATGCTCACAGTTTGGTGGGGAGACAGAAGAACAGTGAAAGTCTTTTTCTCTCCCTGAGTTTTAAGGTCAGAGTGGGAATAAATTACCTTAACAAACGTGAAATGAAGTTGGTAATAACACTTGCGGATTTTACACGTAAATTATTTCTGTGCCTTTGGTGATAGGAGAAGAGTGACTATTAATTGTCAATTATTTGGGATTATTTGGGAGGGTGTACTCAAGAGATTTGTACAGTGGTGACAAAAAATTACATTAAGTGGAACTATTTTGGATATTATCCTTTTCAGGAATCTCACAACTCAAGAAAGAAACGGGAAATTGCTGAAAAACGGATAGACGATAACAGAAAATTTTCTTTATTTGCTGAAAGAAAATACCAGACTCTTGTGAGTACTTTTCAAGAGATGTGACTATTGGACAGAGAACGAGAGGAAGGTCCTCCCCGGACTGCTGCATTTTAACTACTATTATTCCTTTCTCTCCAGAACTGCAGCGTGAACGTGAACTGTGTGAACATCAAGTGCCCACTGCATGGGCTGGACAGCAAGGCGTCCGTTGTTTTGCGCTCGAGGTTATGGAATAGCACGTTTCTAGAGGTGTGGCCCCACCGTGAGGCTGTCCCCTGGAAGTCATGTGCCACCTCCTAGGACATATCTCACTTCCCTAATGCATTTGCTAACTTTGTCTCCAAACAGGAATATTCCAAAATGAACTACTTGGACATTCTCGTGCGGGCTTCTATTGATGTAACTGCTGCCTCGGAGAATATCAAGCTGCCAAACGCTGGCACTCAGGTGAGAGGTCCCCAGTCTTCCTTCAGTCCAGACCAAGTCACTGTTTCCTCCTTCCCATGGCCACGGCCTGAGGGCATGCTACTTTGGCACTCATTTCCCCACAGCAAATTTACCCCCATGAAGAAGAAATCAGATAATGTCTTAAGGTGCTGCCACCCTAAGCTGTATTTTTAATAGAATCATTGAAAAAAAGTGAATCTAGGGTCATCTAGTTCTACAGGGCACAGGGTAGATTTGAGGGCCATTGGCTCAGGGAAAGAATGGGTGCACCTCCCAACTCTAGAAACCCCGTGTCTTAGACTGTCCCTGATGCTGCAGCCGTGGTTGGAGTACCCCCAATGATGGTAACCTGGCCGCATTATGGGGTAGCTGGTGCCATGTGTGGCCAGCTGCAGTTAGAAAAGATCTCTTCATATATGAATCCAGAATTGAATCCTGTTGAGTCAGCCCCTAGTTATGCCCCTCGGAACAAGTACAAAATAAGTCTTATCTTTTGGCTATGTAGCAGCCTTTGAAATGATTGAAGGAAACTGTCACACCTCCATGTTCTCTTCAGAGCTAAGCATCCAGCTCTTTAGTTATCTGTCGTGCCAGGCACTGCTGAACTTGTTGCAGGCCGCTCTCCTTCCTAGGCTGCAGTGTGACTCTGGGCTGGGCAGAGAGCCAGTGTGTGGTCTGCCTAGTTCAGTTTGCCCTGGGGCCATTACCTCCCAGCATCTCAGCCCCACTCTTCTGTCAGTCCAGCCTAAAATTTGGTTTTCAAACGTTTGATGAAGGTTGTGTTTGCATTTCTAGCAGCTGCTATTTTTGTGTTTGTGTTCTGTTAAAACTTCCAAGTGTTTTCATCAGAATTAGTTGTCAAGCTGTATTTCTCATATCCCATCCTTGAGCGATTTTTTAAAATCTAAATGCATGCCTTTAAATGTATCCTCACAGTTTGTGTGGTTTGTTTTTGGTCCGTTGTTTCAGTTCACAAAGTAATTTTGAGTCTTGGTTCTTTGCTGTCTCTTCACTTTCTATCCCAGCAAGGTTTGTCTTTTTCAAAACTCAGAAGCATGCCTTCTATGTCTTCATCTAGGTAATTAAGAAAAATATGGAACAGGACTAGGAGCAGAAGCTTGTGGTGTACCACTAGTGAGGGCCTCCTTGTAGGGGTCTAGGACCCACAGGGGTTTGTATCAGGCTCTTGAGGTAAAATGACTGCATGTCACGGATAGGAATGTTTTGCAAGAGAGACTGGAGAAAGAAAGATTGTGAATTACTGTTCTCAAGTTGATTCACTGATCTACTTATGGAAATGTTCTGGCTTCAGTCCTTTAGCCAGCTGAAAATTCAGTGAGTCTCCTTGATCACTCTGGTTTCTGAAAAATAGTGATCCTGAGCTGTTATAGTTTATCATCCAAACCAGAATACATTTGTCTGGGGCAAACACTAAACCAGGCAGGATGCTGGACAAGTGGCGTAAGCCCAGACTGTCCCAGGCTCACCAGGATGTATGGTCACCCTAGCCTTATATGATCTTTGCATGTTACTCCAGCCCACCTTCCTACATCGTATCAATGGGGCGTTATCAGGGGTTGTCAACTAAACCACACCTTCCCTGAGAATCCTTTCTCTGCCCCTCTGGCTGAAGGCGGCTGCTATAGCTTTCTATAACTTTAAATCAACAATCCCTAGAATCACTGAGTTTTTAGAGCTGGAAAGAGAATGAACACTTTAGAGGGAAGGGACTGACATTAATAAAGCATTAATAAAATGTCTACAATTTACTAGACACTTTACCTAAGTGCTATCATTTAAACCTCAGAAGAATACATTGTCCCCATTTTACAAAAAAAGGAAGCAGACGCAAAGAGGGGACATAATTTGGGGTACTGGATTGAAACCTATAACTATCTTTCAGGGCTCCTGTTCTTTCATTCTGTGACACTTGCTCCCCATTAAGTCCCCAAGTGTCAAATTCAGCTGAGAAAACTGAGTCCAAGGAAAGTTGTCTCTCCGTCAAAGTCACAGGACCAGCATGTGGAGGTGAAATCAGACCTCGGGCTCACAACTCCTCATCAAGTGCTCTTGTTTTCTGGAAGATGATGGAACGGGGAGCCGTGGTATCCCATCTAGTGGCTGGGTCACAAATGAAAATGAGGTCCTCTTGGGCATTTCGTGTTCTTAGGGCTTAGAGAACCCCATGCCTGCTGATGGGAATTGGAGTCATTGCTGTGATCCTACTTTGTTTAATAATTGGTAGATTTGGGAATGGATACTGGTCTTATATCTAGAACCTATTTCTTTTGAAAACTGAGACATTTCCTGAGCTCTAGTCTTCAGATACCTTTTCTATTAACTGTGATTTCTGAGATACAATAGCTCAGCTATATCTACACATTTCTTTAGTATTTTAAGGTGCAGCTTTTCTGGACCTAAAGATTTGAGCTTAATTCAAGTGTCAAATGCCTTCTTTTTTTATTCCCTCACTTGCTATGGGTTTCAGTTTCATCTTTATCTTGGTTCATCTGTTCTTTCCAGTCTGAAGATTATTTTTCTTTGGAGATAGAAGCAAAGGAGGTTGAGTAATTCTATCTTGTCTTTTGGTCTTAATATCAAAACTTCTTCCCATTGCTTTTACTCTAATCTTAGTTTTTTTAAAAAAAGAAAAGAAAAAAAATCTTTGTGTTTTCCTTATAACCCAACCAATTTCAAATCGAGTTTTGTGTTCACTTCTCAATAAAACACTTTTAAGACATTGTTATAACAAAGTCAGAGAGAGCTGGTCACCTAATTGAACTAGTTAAGATGGTTAGATTTTATCATCAGTTAAATCAAATCCATCCAGTTAACAAGCACTTATTAAGGACACACTGCATGCCTTCCTTACACAAATGCTAGTGAAGCAAAGTTGAATAAGATACAGTGTCAACTGTTAAGAACGTCATGGTCCTAGGAGACAGTGAACCGGGAAACAATTGTTGCATTAAGCAAAGGAAGGGGGAGTGGGGGGAAGGGATGTATTGTTGACTCTTCATTCCCCTACTTCATTCCTAAGGGAATGAGAAGAGAGTATTTAAGCTTCCTGGCTGCCAAAGATAAAAGAAAATATGATAGGTAAAAGTAGGCACGTCATTCTTCAGGGGAATGAGATTTTCTTTTTTGGCTCTAAATTCAGAGAAGAACTTGAGATATGGATCCTTTTATAAGATGGATTTCTGATATAAGGAACACTCACTAAGAGGCTGGTATCTTTAATAGAGAGTTTTGTAAAAGATATGAAAATCCCTTCCTCGGGTCATTTTTTTATACTGATGTTCAATAAGAGCAGAGAGTATTACATTACAGAGTGATTTAGGGAAACAGTTTTGGCAGTGGGCAAGCTAACGTGGTCTAAGCCCTGCTCACTGGTGATGGAATTCAATGCATCAGCAGAGCTTAAGCCCTTTTTCACCTTATGGGCACATGATAGTTGAGGTTCACATGCACGGTCATCCCTATGGAAATGCCTAGAGTTTACGAAACCAAAAAAAAATTATTTTTGGAGTTGGAGTAATTTCTACTCACCTTAACCTGTCATTGTCCATCAGTAACAGTTGCTGTGACGAGATGAGACAAGGCTTCCCTGAGTTCTGGGAATCGCAGCTCACATTTGGTCTCCCCTTACTCCATTCTAAGGCCACCCCCCTTATTCCCAATCCCAGCTGGAGGATGACTGTCATACAAAAAAAAACAAACTTCAGTTGACAATTTAAGGAAACAATAAAATCTTGCTGACTGGCCTCTCTCACCTTCCTGGACGGCATTGTGGCCTTGCACACAGACTGCGTTTGCAGAGCACATGTGCCCTTTAAATGTGTGGCCCAGCCGTAGCTTCAGTCTTCAGTCTTTGATGCCCAGTGAGAAGTGTTACAATTCCTAAAAGGCTCCAAGATCTAGTTTGAATGGTAGACCCACCTGGGGCATAGAACTCTCAGCTGGATTCCTACCCACACCCTCTCCACCCCCACAAAATAAAAAATTACCTTGTTCAGCGCTTATGCTGTTGGATTGCAGCCATTTATGGGAATGATTCTATCCCCTACCCCACCCCCTGCCTGTTATCAGCCATTTAAAAGGCTCTGGTACATGGTGTGATTGTAGTAAGGCTGATGCCCCTTGCCATGCTCCAGTCTCCACTTCCAGGTATCAGAACTTATTCTTCAAAATGAGGATGGCCCTTCCAAGTTTTCACCTTGTCCCCAAGGACACGCTGTTGTGCCTTCTCTCTGCTAGATACTGGGAAAGCAAAGTTGTGTGAGCTAGAGCATAGGCTATTGAAATAATCTTTTTGTTTTGTTTTGAGGAGTCAGATTTACCAGTCACATCAACTATATTATTTCTTCACTGGTCTCTGACCATTCTTTCTTCCCTACTTCATGGATACCCCTAGAGCCATTAATCTAAAGAAAAAGTTGTTATAGCTTAAAGCTGGGACACCTGTTGGGGGAAGGGCTAAACCAGGCAGGTTTACCGCCCCCCCCCCCGGGGGGGCTGGGAGCTTGGGGAAACCTAACTTGAGAGCATTACAGGAAACATAGTAGCTGAGTAGAGTGTTTATGCCTGCCTGTTGTGGTCAGTATAGTAGGCTGAGAACTCTAAATGTGAATTCTATTAACTGTTTAAAGAAAAGAAATTCTCTTGCTTTTAAGTATATTCTATGTCAAATGAGGTTGAGAAGCTGTTTTCTAGTATAAGTAGAAAGTGAAGTGCTTTAATGAAGAGATTGAAGAAAAAAACAGAAGTACAGTCTAGAAGTGTTGAAGCACAGTGTAGACACAGAAGCATTTTTAGGCAGCATCCCGAGTTCAATGCTAATATGGAATACTTGACTAAAAACACTTCTAGGAAGTTGAATCCTCCCTCCGAGTTTTGTTCACCCTTCACTTGATTCAGAAACATCAGAATCTTCAAACTGGTAGATCTCTGATCTGTGTAGTTTACAAGATCGTATTCATAGCAATCACCGGGTCTTTTACGTGCTTTGAAAAATAATCTCCTGGCATCGCAAAAATCCACTGAATTCTAAACCCACATAACGAAGTTGTTGCGAATTGCCCTAAGCAACTTTTTGGATTTCTGAATAAACACTATTTCTATTTAATTGGTATTTGCCAACTGTCAAATGTTTAGAGCTTAAGCTTGTCATCAGCTGCTGCTTAAAGCTCTAAGCTGCCCCTGACTGAATCCAGGGTCTAGTTTGTCCACACACATTGTTGTAGAAGATGGTGCCAAGCCATTTCAGGAAATTTTATTGTTTATGAGGGTCCTTAGTTTGATATCTAAGGAAAAGTTAAAATGGTATCAGTAATACAGCTTCATTCCTATGTTTATGTTTCACAACATCTTTAAAATCTGAGTGAGGAACGTAGGCTAATTATGCATAAACTAGCCCTTTTATTTCCATTGCTGAAAGCTAATTAAAAGAGAGGGTGATCTTTCTCAAAAAGATACCAGATTATACAGATGAAACAAGATTGGCTGTGTATTGGTAATTGTTGAAACTTGGTGATGAATAAATGATGGTTCCTTATACAGTAGTCTCTACTTTTGTTGATTACAAAAATTTTAAAAAGATGAGTTAGCAAGGAAATAACCACTTTGTCAGAACACAATCCAGCATTGTCCAGGTTCTGGGAAAAGAGCTCCTGGAAACGCTTCTCAAAGCAGTATTTCATTATTAAAGGAAAGGATCTCGCATCAAAAAGGCATCTCATCTGTCCGTAGTCTACATTGTCCAAAATGTGTCCGGAAGCAAAATTAAAACTATAAACTCACCCCAGTTTATGATGATGTTGCTTTTTATGCCCCATAGGTTCGTGTCACTGTGTTTCCTTCAAAGACTGTAGCTCACTATTCAGGAGTAGCTTGGTGGATCATCCTAGTGGCTATTCTTGCTGGGATTTTGATGCTTGCTCTATTAGTGTATATACTATGGAAGGTAAGTTATATCTGGCATTTGAGTTTCATGATATAAACTTTATTTCATGTTTTTAAAAAGGTGAATTAACACTGATAGTATGTATGTTTTTTTTTTATTGCTTCCTTTTTCCTAACATTTCATTATGAAATTTTCCTAACATACAGCAAATTTGAGAATTTTACAATGAATACCTGTATATCTACCTCATAGTTTGTGTTTAAAGGTATATTATTTGTACATTATAAGTTTCTTAAATGTGTACATTTTGGTGTTTTTCACATGTAATTTAGCATGTTTGGCAAATAATAATTTTTAAAGTTGTACTAAGTTTAGTGTTTTTTTCATCTAGGATCAAATTCTGAATCTAAGCCAAATTGTTGGCTGTCACATTAATCTGAATCTGTAACCCTGTTAATTTCAATGTCCATAAAGAAATGTTCATGGCAACCATTGGGGCTTGTTACAGTTGCAGCTAGAGTAGGAACAGAAAAGCATAAAATTAACGAATAACTGCATCTCAAAGGGTCTTCATAGCCTATATAAAACATGAGGAAGATTTGGGTTTGATATGATGTTCTTCATTAGAATTTGGTCCTGCAAATAAAATATGGTATCTTCCTCCTGCTTCCTACCAGTAAATAGTCTACATTACAAAAAGTGTATATGAGATGGATGCATACTTTTGTTGCCAAAGATTATGACCTATAGATTTTAGATTATTCTCAATGAGTAATGGAAGTACACAGCCCCTTATCAGCAATTGCAAATTGCAAAAAACTCTGAAAACTGAAAGTTTGTAATGATTTATTTGGCAGCAAAATTTGACATGATGTAAAGAGAGGCTATTTATAGTCTTTATCTTTTATTCATTAGTTTCACTACAGAAATATCAATGTTTTGATTACAGTTTTATTATATATGTAGTGTATTACTTTTTTGTGTGTGTGAGGAAGATCAGCCCTGAGCTAGCATCCATGCCAATCCTCCTCTTTTTGCTGAGGAAGATCGGCCCTGAGCTAGCATCTATTGCCAATCCTCCTCCTTTTTTTTTTTTTTCCCTTTTTCTCCCCAAAGCCCCAGTAGATAGTTGTATGGCATAGTTGCACATCCTTCTAGTTGCTGTATGTGGGACACCGCCTCAGCATGGGCTGACAAGTGGTGTCGCGCCCGAGATCCAAGCCTGGGCTGCCAGCAGCAGAGCGTGCGTACTTAACCACCAACCCACGGGGCCGGCCCCTGTATTACTTTTCTAAAATACCAAAAATTCTGGATTTCCAAACATGTCTGATACAGAGGATTTTGGATGAAGGATTATGAAACTCAAACACCAATCTCTAGGATCAAACCATCCTTATCCTTTCCTTAGATCCAAGAGTATAATGGACAAGGGTTCAGAATATTTTCACTTTAAAATATTGGGCATCTCTTTTTTGCTTTATTTTTCCAAGTAACTTCCTTTTGCCAATCTGAGATAATTTTCCGATGTCCTCCAAATGTGTGATTGAAGGTTGGTATCTGCTCATGCCAGTATGACTCCTTGCATGAGATGTTAGCCAGTCCTACCTCTGATATTAACTTCAGGCAGGAGGTTTCTCTGGTAAGCACAGCCAGCCAATATCAGAGATGCTCTGAGAATTATTTTGACATCAGAAACTGAATTTGAGGTTTGATATTTGAGGATAGCCTTTTTGTGCTCTCTGGAAGAGGTCACAAGTTCAATCTTTTTCAGAGCAAGTCTTATTGGCAAACTTTAATGAGGGTGAGACATGGCAGTGGGTTGAGAGTTAAGAAACCCAAACTCTATAATCTTGGGCAAATCATTTCACCTCTGTGGGGCACTGGTTTGCCTTAGCTGTTTAATAAGTGAGTTGGACTAGATGATCTCATTGATATTTTTGTTTGTTTGTTTTTGTTTTTGAAGTTCTAAAGTATCCAGACTCGCAAGTAAACTCTAAAGTAATCAGACAACTTCTACAACCCCACATGAAAATCATTTTTATTACTTTATAGATACTCTTCTTTCTGAAACTAAACTATTTGTTTTTATGTGTTAAAAAATTGTAGAATTTGAGGTCCAGAAAGGACTCTAGTTCAGTGACCTTTAATTGGCTTTTGTACATCCATGTAGGTGCTGAGACTAAGCTAGGCAAGTGGAGGTAGGGCCAACATCCCCACTTCAACCAGAACAGTTCTGATTTTATCTGCTTTAGATATCGGGATTCTACGTAAGATTTTGTTTGGAAGTAAAAGAGGAAAGTCCTCTAGGCTGGTCCAGTCATTTTGCAAACAAAGATGCTCATGCCCATGGATTTTAAGAATGTTGCCAAGCTGAAGGCAGGACCAGGACTCTTGGTTCATTCCTTTTCCCATCCCATTTACCTGCATGTGTTATTGAAAGTTGGCTGGGTATGTTTCACTGTGTATTAAATTGAGAGTCACAGATAAATATCAAGATAGTCTAGATCAACGCTGCCCAACAAAACTTTTTGTAATAATGGAAATGTTCTGAAGCTGCACCATCCAATATGGCAGTCACTAGTCACATGTGGCTATTGAGCACTTGGAATATGGCTAGTGCAACTGAGGTATTGACTTTTAAATTTAACTTAAATTTGAATAGGCACATGTAGTGAGTAGCTACCATATTATACAAAACAGATCTAGATTTTTACTTTCATGAGTTGCCAGACTAGGAAGGAGAATTTTCTGAGAGGGCAGAGATTTATTCAACCAAGTTATATTTCAAAGGGCAGTTCCCTGGCCTTATGAACTAGATACAAGTAAATTGAAAAAGTTCTCCATTGTTGAATGAAGGAAATTACAGTAGAAAATGGAATTATACTTTTATACTCATTTAGAGTGACCTAACCTGAGGAGCATAGGTTTCTACCACTTAAGGGGTACATGGTGGTTCAGAATTTGAGAAAATGATGGCAATCATTCTTTCATGATGGTGTATTGGAATTTATATCGTGATTTACCCCACAAATCGAAAGGCCTCACGTAGATGGCATTTGTTCCATAAAATTTTCTGTGAAAGGAAGGAAAATACTCACAGTATCTATTTTATTTGGATTTGTGCTAAATCTTAGAGAATTTATTCTTTAATCTTTGTCTCAATAAACTGTAGAGGTCAATCTTTTGCCTGTTTTAGAGTCCATATTCTCCTGTAAGAAGAAACCACCCAAAGCTATAATCAGATGTGTAAATATTTACCCTTTTAGGATGATTTTTTCCTCAAGATTTCTGTTACAAATAGAAAAATCAATTAGCAGATTAATGTCATCCATAGAAATACTTGACCAGAAACCCATGGTAATAGAGTTGGGTTGATGACTATCACAATGTAACATAGTGCAGTGGCTATTCACTTCTGGTTGATCCATAGTGGTCTCTTTGTAAACAAGCTATAAATAGAAAACAGGTTAAAATCTGGGATTTTCTTTTGTTTAGCTCTTGTACACAAAACTGTAAAACTGACTAAATACGTTGCTTCCTTGTAGTGTGGTTTCTTCAAGAGAAATAAGAAAGATCATTATGATGCCACATATCACAAGGCTGAGATCCATGCTCAGCCGTCTGATAAAGAGAGGCTTACTTCTGATGCATAGTATTGATCTACTTCTGTAATTGGTAATTGATCAATGTTTTTTAATTGCTAGCTGTGGGACCTGCTATGGTTGTGGTGGCTAACTTTAAGAGCAACAGCTTGCTGTGTGTGTCCCATTAACAGATGTTTCCAAATGTCCACACTGGCTTGCCTTGCTTGGATTTATTTTATTTTATTTTATTTATTTCACTTGAAAGCTTACAGTTTTTTAAAAAATGCACAAAGAATCTTTTGTTGCAGGTGAGTTATTTTGAGTTTTTGTTGTTGTTCAACATCACCCAGAGCAATGAAGAAAACTGAAATCTATGTACACACAAAAGGAGGCTTAAACCTCCATAGTAGCCCAGTCTCCCACGTGTTGTTAATCCAGTATGTAGCATCCCACTCGGAATTTCAAAGATGCATGAGAAATCATTCCAGATTTCTTGTCCATTTTGGAATTTCCCACAGATAGAAGCTTGTGTTGATTGCCTAATTAACCTGTTGCATGTTGGAAACATTGTGTTTCTCTCGATGAGAGGCTTTCTCACTGTCATCTTTTTTATCTCCTTGCTATAAAGTGATGGGGCAAGGCTTGGAATGCTTTTATTGTTGCTCAGAAATTGTTTTATGCTAGCTAAGCATGCAGCTTCCTTTTCCTGCATATCTACTATAGTTCAAAGACCATTACAACAAACTATGATTATTGGTGTGATGGACATTATGGCCAATTTCAGAAGATGGTCCTTTACCAAAGTGACCTTTGATATAAAAATGTATAAAAATGCTCTGGATGGTTTTTAGTTTAATATGTTGTAATGGAGTTTGACCTTGTTTCATGTTTTAGAGATTTCATTCACACTTGAGTCTCCGTTGATTTTAAGTTCATGTTTTGCTTCTCTTATTTGTAAATCCATGGAAACAGGAATTGGCGGTGATTCCTTTTTCCATTTCTGTGGGCATGAGGGGATAGAATTAATCCTATAATCCCTTTCCATGGCACAGTCATGGTGAATCCCAACATTTCCATTTCAGTTTTACACATCACCCTTGATTTCCTTCTTTGTTTAAATGGGGCAAGAGCCACATTTTGTAATAGATAGGTATTGGCTTTTTTGCACAGAATGATAAAGGAGTCCATATAGAAATGGCCCTAGAACAAAACTTCTTGGTCTGTTTTTCTTATTGATTTAGTGATAACCATGCACATAATTTTATTTTGCCCCATGACATTTTTAGAGCATAACATCATCCAACTTAAATGTTCTGTTCTTGTTGATGTCACATAGTAAACACATTAATCGACCATTCTAAGTATCTTCCTCATCCTCCTCCTATCTGCATTTATAAATTGAAGACACATCTTTTTTACAAAACTTATATATTTTATTCATTTAAATTCAGTCTGATTTAAAAATTTCCAGATATGTTCTCTATAAAATCTACTTTGGATCAGATTGAATATTTTTTTAAATGAATAAAATATATGTTCACTAATAGTTTAATTATGTAAATGTTGTCTTCCCTTCTGCAGAAAAAAGAGAGAAATTAGGGGGTGCTCTGAAATTCAATCTAGTGATGCTTTCCTCAAGTTCTTTGAGGTACATGATTGATTTTATTGTAGGACACAGTTACTACATGATTTATTAATGAAACAGCTTAATTTGGAAGCACAACAGCAAATCCAGGTAGTGTAAATTACCTTCTAGCTAATGAGAGATGTATACTGGAGCCTCAGAGGAGAGAAGATTCTTAAATTGACCCATTTGAACACTGGAATATTCAGATAGTAATTTGTGAAATATTTGTGACCCGATTTCCATTTTGTTAGTGGGAGAGGGGCATGAAATAATCTTTGATTTATGGCCTTTGAAAAAAGTTGTTCCTTAAATTAAAATGATGTTCTAATAATCTGAAAATTAATCTTCTACATATAGTATTGTGATTATAAAAAATGGAAGCACTGTTTCATAAATTCTTAAATTGTTAGTTGAGGTAGCTTACATTGTTATAAAATGTAAAGACAAGATGGAAAAATGGACTTTTCTTCCAGTTTTACAGCTGTTCTTCTCTTCCATTTATCCCCACTGGCTGTTACATTTCTTTCTGATCTATTAGTTCCTTCTTAAAAGAAAACCAGGCCTCTTTTTCTTTGACCGAAGGTAGGCATAGCTGAACAGAAAGCTTAGACATTCCCGTTTAGTGCACTTGCTTTTCTTGAGATGATTTAATTTGTTTCTCTTCCCCCTTCTCCAGTGTGGATTCTTTAAACGCTCTAGGTACGATGATAGCGTTCCCCGATACCATGCTGTAAGGATCCGGAAAGAAGAGCGAGAGATCAAAGATGAAAAATATAATGATAACTTTGAAAAAAAACAGTGGATCACAAGATGGAATGAAAATGAAAGCTACTCCTAGGGGGGCCAAAAAAGCTTCACTGTACCCAAACTGCTTTTTTTTTTTTTTGCCCAACTCAGAAATTCAAATGGATTTAAAAGCCCGTTCAATACCTGGATATTGATCTCAGACTACACACAGTACGAACCTACAGTTTTACCTGTGGACATAGTTACGTAGCCTGAGGCCTCTGTTTTGCACAGCCAAATTTAAGACGGTTGGAACGGATTTTTCTTTAACTGCCTTAATTTAACTTTCCGGGTTGCCTTTGTTTTTGGTGTAGCTGACTTAAACATATGCTGGGGAAGGGCCTGCCAGTTGTGCTTATTGCAACATCCTCCTGATAGTATAGCTGGAAGAAGGCACCCACAATCACCGCACTAACTGAGTGACCGTCCTAACCTCAGCACTGCCTCTGCAAACATTCTTCCCAAAGGACTGGAGAACCGCAAATCAACTGTCCCGCGTCACAAGACTCTGCAGTCGGGGTAGTTCTGTTTCAATTTCAAGTGCTATCCTAAATTAAATGTGCAATAGAAGGTGATGTTGCCATCCTGCCCTCTTTTTCCATTTCCTAGATGTGTGAACACTTGCTCACACCAAATATATACAGGTTTCATTCTCCCTTTTCACTAAAACACACAGGCGCAACAGACTTGAATGCTAGTTATACTTATTTGTATATGGTATTTATTTTTTTTTTTACAAACCATTTTGTTATTGACTAACAGGCCAAAGATTCTCCAGTTTACCCTTCAGGTTGAATTAAACAATCAGAACATGGGAGGTCATTGGTGTGACCTAAATTATTTACTGCAAAAAGAAAATAATAATTCTTTATAAATGTGCCAGAAAGTTGTTATAGTTTACAGATAAGTTTAAGTTATTAAAACATCTCCCTTCATGACAGCCCTCACCCCCTTCCTCCAAACCCAAAAGGTTGCTTTAAGAAATAGGATTTAACCATAAGATGTTTAATTCATATCAGACATTGGATATTTTTGAGTTTAGAGCCCTGTGTGATATTTCTGAATTTCATGCTATAACTTTCAAGAATTCTTGGAAATTATGGGTTGGTTGGTTTGTTGAATTTTAGTGCAGTTTCTGCAAATACTGTATATTTAGGACTTGAAAGACATGGTGAGTGCCTATGGTGGATCCAGACTGATCCAGTGTAAGACTACTGAATATCTGACACCAGGAGTCAGGGAGAACATCATGGCCTTTAGGTCTTTAAATGTTATTGGAATCATTTAATCAGTGAGTCAATGTTCTGTTTTTGCTTTGTTTACTCCCCTATCTATATTCCCAAAATTACTTTGGGAATGCTCTAACAAGCCTTAAATTGTTTTTTAATTTTAAAAATGGAGGTGGGGGAGGAAGACATTATTCTATACTTTCAATAGAGATTGAATAGCTACAAAAGCTGAATTTTTTTTTAATTACTGTATTTCAAAATGTTAAGTTATATGGGGAGCAACAACCAACAGGTGCTAATTTGTTTGAATATAGCATAAGCAGTATCTCAGTCTTTTAGAAGAACAAAATACAACTACATGTGCCATTGTTGCTTTTAGTTTTTTTTTCTTTTCAGAAATCTTATGCCCTTAAGATACTAAGGACATTATTCTTGTTGTACTTTGGAATTTTCATTCACAAAAGTAGTTTTACAAATGATATTTTGTTTACAAAAATTTGTCTAAAACAGGTCATAACGGTGTTTAAAATCTCAGTTTCTTGCTTAGGTAACTTGGAACCTAATGCACTGGCTTTATAGGTTGCTAAGAAGCTGATATTTTGAAAGTGCTATAGACCTTTGTTATAAAAACGAATGTCCCGAAGGTGGGGTGGGAGGGAAGGGTAGTTCAACAACAAAGAAATGAGAATGTAGTGGTGTTTAAATTTATAGTTGTTAAAAACGTCATCTCAAGTCAAGTCACTGGTCTGTTTGCATTTGATACATTTTGATACTAACTAGCATTGTAAAATTATTTCATGATTAGAAAATACCTGTGGATATTTGTATGAAAGTGTGAAATAAAATTTTTTATGAAAGTGTTCATTGCTTAGTAACACAGCATTGTATATGTGAAGCAAACTCTAAAATTATAAATGAGAACCTGAATTGCCTTTCTTTTTATTTCATCAAGCCAAACTAAAGTTTTGGATGTTTTTATTTATTCTTAGTGTCCCATATAATCTCAGATCAGCCAAAGATATTAGCACCCAAAAACTTCAATGTAAATGTGATTGAGGGTGTTTCTTTTTCCTTTTGGCTCTACTGTTCAGTTGATGCTCAAAGAAAATTATCTTAAAGATGGTTTATTCAAGATACCTACAATTTGGGAGATATCTATTTGCATTGATTCATCTGCTTCAAGGGATTATGCTTATCAAGGGTAGGGTATTATTTAGCAATGATACCACGGCCTGAGGAATAAAAATTCTTATGGCTAAGTTGCTTTCCTCTTCGAACACATTTTGGTTGTGAGAGCAATCCAGCCGTGACATGTGTCGTTATATTGATCACCAAGGACTGATTTGGCAAAACTCGTCAGAAAATATTTCCTTCACCAAAGGATTTCATTTAGATTTAAGCAATTTTATGAAACTTCTCTATCTGGATGATCACAATTTAATAAATGAAAATGAGGCATGTATATAGTGCCCAGACAATATAGCATGCCCTGGCCTGAATAAATTTCCAGTCTAAAATGTCCAGTATATTAGATAATAGTTTTCCACTGTACTTGGTATTATATATTGTCTTAGCCTTCTTAGTTTTTCGAAGATCACACAGGTGTTACCACCCAAAGAAATGTGTGATTGGCACTTTAATGATGGTCTGGTGGCTGTGAACCCTTTTTAGTCACAGTCCCATGGATATACCCCGATTAAATAACTGCAATAATGTGTAATCACCATAACCACTAAGAGTGTCAATAGCTGTGGTTTGCCTAGGGCTATGGCCTGACCTGGGCTGGAGGTCATGGAGGTGCTTTATAGACTCCTGTGATTCCACCCCTTTCCCTCAGAAAAATCATACAGGAGTGCCTTAGGAGTGAGGAGGAGTGAGGTGTTATTATAGGGCTATCCTTGGATCCATTCGCAAATGTTGACACTTAATTGTTGGGTACAGGCACTTGCCACAACCTCCCAATGGGTTGTCCACAGTCATGGCTAATCTCATGCCCTTGTGGTTGAGAATATTCTAGAATGTGGGGTAGATGTAGGTAGGGAATGCTTTAAATTGTCCAGACCAGGGAGGTAAGGATAAGACCAAGCCTTCTACCCTAAATGAAAACATCTTAATGAGAAACTGATCTCTAGTACACTAACCCACAAAAGGACAATGTGGGTAGACAGACTGGGGTTGATACATTATTTTGTTTTAAAGGAGGAAAAGAGTGAAATGTAGGTGGCTGGGTTCCACATAAGTACATTCTCAGGGCTGAGAAAACAGGAATGTGCAAGAGTTGTTTGATCAGCTTGGGTAGCATAAAGTAAATGATTAAAGGCAGTTCCTTGGGACCAGAGGATAGGGTCCAATCACTATCACGGTCCAACCCTTTTCACTGAAGAGAAGGCAAGGTTCAAAGAGATGAAGAAAATGAACTTCAGAAGGATTTCACAAGAGTGGCTATTGCAAAAAAACCAGTGGGCATCTGTTATGAGAGGTTTGGGGATTTGATCAGAGACGTAAAAGAAACTTTTTACTCCAAACAAATGGACTGAAGGTATATTTTATTATATAGAGAATAGTAAAGGCGATAGTCCGCAAACAGATCCAAATAGGTCAAATATTAAGAGGGAAAAACATCAGCTCGACTGGAAAGGGAAAACATCTATATCGACTGAGATAGCAGCAGATTTGAATAGATTATATAATGAGAGGGAAAAACATCCACATCGACTGAAGGGAAATGCCACAAATCTACCGGAAAGAGAAACAGGTTGATCGAAAAGAGAACATATCAAATTAATTACAACAAATTAATTACAACATCCACGCCCCACCGCCGGGAGAGTCCTTTTAATCAACACGGCTGAACGGGAATCACACGTCCTGGGCAAGGCGTCCCTTCTACAGGTGGAACCCTCACCGGGCCTCAGTCTCTAGCAGTTTTTTATAGCATCAATAATTCCCAGAGTAAGCAGTTACAGAGCTTTTACAGAGCAAGCATTCAGTGTTTCCATGTACCAATGGTTATCAGTGGCATACGTGCACTGAGCCTCCTGGCTATCATCCCAGCCTGGCAGTTGTGTAAGTGCATTGTTTACCCTAGTTATCGTCCCAGCCCGGCACAGATGGCCATTCTGTCCCAGGCTGCAGCGCCCAAAGGGCCTTGAAAGTTTTACACATTGCAACTATCTCCGTGGGAGAAGGGCCAGTTTCCACCAGGCAGAAACCAGCTTTTATATTTTTGTGTGTGTGTGCTGGTGGCTGTACGTCAATGGAGCAGCCAAACATGGCTGTACTCATGTCAAGATATTTTTGGCCATGGCCGTTTCCATTAACCATAAGACACCATATGCATAGACAATGAACTCCGTACACAAGTACATAAGGCATATCCAAGAACCCCAAATCCAATGACTGCAGTAATTACAAAATTATCTTGCAATAAAGGACCCAAACCCCAAGGTAACCAATCAAATAACCCCTTAGAATATGTAATGTTATTAACTTGATTTTGTAAATTATGTACAGTATTAAAGATAACATTAGTTTGATTTGATACATTGAAACAGCATATACCCGGTATTTTCGTAGAAGGTGTTTGGTGAAGAAGAAATAAATAGTCTAAAGGAGCTCGTTGTTAAGAGTCTTTCTCCACAGTTTGCAATTTTTGAGATATAGCTAGGAAAGCTTTAACAGTATTATTTATTATATGTGTCAACAAGTAGGAAAGGTGTTTAATTTGACGACGGTTGTCTACAATCAAGTCAGGATCAGGTAGTAGGAGGGCGGCACGCGTTGCCACAGTAGAGATGGGAAGAAGGTCAATATGAGGGTCACAATCTGTAGTGAGTGTCTTACTCGGGAATTCTTGGTAGGGAAGGCAGCTATACGGGGGGCTATTGGGCCAATACCACATGTAACAGATGTGTCAGTTGGAATGTGTGAGTATGCAGTATTATCACATAACCAGAAATATCTAGTAGGTAGTCGTGAGGGAGTAGGAATACTAATATGGATAGTCTTATTGTAATATAATGGGATATATGTTCAATTAATACAATAACACGTGGTAGAAGTTACTCCTGATATAGGCATAGATATTAAAGAAGGAGGAACAGTGACTTTAACATGTGACACATTAAATAAGGTAATACCTAGGCCTAACAAATTAGCTTGCAGAAGTCCAGAAGGGTTATTACTGTTGCTAAGACAAAAAGCAGTTTTATTAAGAACTGTATGAGCTAAATGTAGCCATAGATGAGTGTTTTTAAGAGGAGTAGTGGCATGAGGAAGGATACTAACAAATCCGGTTTCTTTAAGAAACAGGGAATCTGGATTTTTCTTTTTTTATTTAATACAAGAATATCAGCCCCCATCACGGAGTGTAGCAGAAGGCAGGGCAATAGAGAAATTATAATTAGTTTTGTGTGACTGATCAGATATAGGCTCATACCGAGAAGTTGCTTGATGTTTTTGAGAACAAATTTTTCGGCCATTTATAGTCCAGGTTACAGGTCCCACTGGTGTAGAGCAGTTGGTCCAGCAGTGCAGGGTCAAAGGTTGTCCTACGGAGACATTAGTTGGTGTGGAGGTCTGCAGCAGACATGGAGTTGCAGCGTAGCATAGCGAACACAGCAGGAATATCTATTTACGCAAAGAAACAGAATTTTTAGGAACATGATATAATTGTTTACTTTCTGGATACATAACTATTAGTGTTGTAGTGGGCCCTTGGGCCACTACTTTTGTGGCACGGGGAGCCGCATTGGGTGGGTGTGTCACTCACACCTTTGTTTTAGGTTTTTATCCATCTGTAGACCCAAATCCTTGCTTTTTTTTTTTTTTTTTAGTTAATTTAGTTGGAAGTTGTCCTTGTGACACACTTGGAGTCAGGAGGGGAAGTACCAATAATTGTCCCACTCGTTTCCCAGACTCTATAGTTAATATTGTGTCACTACCATTACATAATATAAAAATTTTTTTTTTTTTTGGGTAATCTGGATTAACAACTCCTCCTATACATTAATATTTTTTGCTGTTAGTCCAGAGCATCCTTTTAACAAACCAAAAGTGTTTTTGGGAAATTGTACCCCTATCCCAGTAGGGACTATAGACTGCTTCTTAGGGGGCAACTGAATAGAATGAACAGTGGATAAATCCAATCCAGCCACTTCAGCTGTGGCATGAAAAGGTGGTTTAGCAGACTGAGTCAATGGCCAATAGGTTAAGGTCATAAGCTCATGGGTGGCAGCTGCCACTTCTGTAATCTTTGTTGGTAACAACCTTGACAGAGGAGTCTCATTAGGGCCTAGTGGCCTGTTATTTAACACATTTAGAGCAGTACTTAGATGGTTGTGCCACCCCTTTAATGAGCCATGACCGAGTTTCCTCAATTGTTGTTTAAGCAATCCATTTATTCGTTTTATAAGGCCTGCAGCTTGGGGGTAATAAGGTATATGATAAATCCATTTTATATGATTTTTTTTTGTATAAGTTTGAATTAACTTACCTGTAAAGTGGGAACCGTTGTCACTCTGAATCTGCCTTGGTGTTTCATAATATAACTTAATTGTATCTAATAATTTTATGGCACTCTGTTGGGTGGCTGCTTTAGCCGGCATAGCTAATAAATAACCAGAATATGTATCAACAGCAGTGCAGGCATAAGTATAGCCACAAGAATTTGGCAAGGGTCTAATAAAATTTATTTGCCAGGTTATGGGCGGGAAATAATCCCTTTTGGATATGACCTTGGTAGGGGTGTGGAACTCCCCATTTGTTTAACTCTTGGCATAATTGACATTGTTGTACTGCAGTGGCAATATCATCATAGGTGACAAGAATTTCCCTTTGTTGTGCCCACCTGTATGAAGTTTGTTTTCCCAAGTGTCCACTCTTTTCGTGGACCTATCGTGCTAAGCCTGGATTGTGCGTTGTACGAA